GGCGTGAACAGAATGCAGCTGTTGGAAAACTTACATGGTGGAAACATAAACCCAGACAGCAAGCTAGGCTAGACTTTTTTCTGGTTAGTGAAGATATTTTAAACCTATCCTCTGCTGCTGACATTCTCCCAGGTTATAAATCTGACCATTCGGCTATTTCTTTATGCCTAAATGATTCTCTGATAAATAATAGGGGCCGTGGATATTTTAAATTTAACACTTCCCTTTTAAGAAATAAACAATATGTGGATATGGTTACGACTGTTTTAGATGAAACAAAACAACAATATGTGCATCCATCTTATAGATCAGACCATTCTGCTCCTTTTGATGATTTGGATTTAAAACTGAATATACCTGATTCCCTATTCTTGGAAACCTTTTTAATGAATTTGCGAGGTAAAACAATCTCTTTTTCCTCATATTTGAAAAAGAAAAGAGGAAAGAAATTGGGCGATTTAGAAAAAGAAATAAACCAATATGAAAATAAAATTAGAGAGGATTTTCAAAATATTTCTGAAGAAGCTTTAAGTAAATTATCTGAATCAAAAAAGGATTATGAAAAAATTAAAGATGAAGAAAGCAAGATAAATGTTTTTAATAAGAGATTACAATGGTATGAGGAGGGAGAGAAACCAACTAAATACTTTTGTCATCTTGAAAATAGAATTTTTACAAATAATATCATCTCCTCCTTGATTAATAGTGAAGGTGAGGAACTGAATGATACAACTCTCATCATTAAAGAACAAGAATCATTTTATAGAAACTTGTACCAAAAAAATAGTTCAGTAGATACTGATCCAAGACCGATGTTAAACAATATTCCAATTCCAAAACTAGAGAATGATATGCAACAGGTCTTTGTACAGCCGTTATCCTTAAACGAAATTGGTAAAGCTACACTTGCAATGAAAAATAATAAGAGCCCAGGTCTTGATGGCTTCGCAATTGACTTCTTTAAATTTTTCTGGAAAGATTTAAGAGTCTGGATATGGAGATACTTTAATCACGCTTACCACTCTAACTCTTTGACTTCTACTATGAACTGGGGCGTGATTACTTGCATTCCAAAAGCAAATAAAGATAGAAAAAGATTAAAAAATTGTCGTCCCATTACTTTATTAAATGCTGTATATAAGATTTTAAGCTCTTGTATTACTAATAGAATCAAGCAATCTTTAAACAAATTAATTCATTGTAATCAATCAGGATTTATCCCTGGGAGATGTTTAAGTGAAAATACTAGATTACTTTACGATATCATTTTTGAAACTAAGAGACTTGACAAAAAAGGTACGTTGATACTCATTGATTTTGAGAAAGTGTTCGACGCCGTGAATAAAGATTTTATTTTCCTCGTTCAGGAAAAATTTGGCTTTGGGCCAAATATGATTAAATGGATACATATACTCATATCTAATGCCTCTTCTTGTATTGTCCAAAATGGCCACCTCTCTAAATTTTTCATGAATGAAAGAGGTTGCAGACAGGGTGACCCAATTTCCCCCTATTTGTTTCTTTTCGTAGCTGAAATTCTCGGTATCATGATTCGTAATAATGAAGATATAAAAGGTATACTTCTACACGATATTGAACACACATTGGGCCAATATGCTGACGACACCCAACTTTTTTTAGATGGCTCGGAAAAATCATTAAAATCAGCCATGGATACACTTGAAACTATTTACAAAATCTCAGGATTAAAAATGAACTTTGAAAAAACCAAAGCAATATGGATAGGCAGTATGGCTGGTAGTAAAGTCCGATTTTGTCCTAACTTAAAGCTAGATTGGCATGATGGCAACTTTGAAGTTTTGGGCATATGTTTTAATGTTGACTTAAAAGACCTTTGGGTAATCAACACTAAAAAACGACTGGATAATATCTATGGTATTATAAGCAAATGGAAAAAAAGTAATTTGACTTTGATGGGTAAAATAACAGTTGTTAATACTTTAATTCTCTCTACCCTTGTACATATTTTTTCCGCTCTCCCAAATCCATCAAAAGCTTTTATTGATCAATTGAATAGAATTCTTTTTAACTTTATTTGGAGTGGCAAAAGAAATAAGATTAAGAGGGATTATTTGAAAAGGAATTACAGTCAAGGTGGATTGAAAATGACTGATATACCCAAATTTATATCATCTTTGAAAATTTCATGTTTAAAAAGATGTTGCGAAAAAAACATTAATCATGACCTTGCTAGTTTTCAGCTGGCTCATATCTACACTTTAGGTGCCAGTTTGCACAAGAATTGGGAAATTGTAAATCCTTTCTGGAAAGATACCCTTATAACCTGGAGTGACTTTATGCATTCATATGACTTAGAAAAAGCAGAAATTGCTTCCCAACCCATATGGTTAAACCATTATTTTAGAGAACCAGTATTAATTTTTAATGACTGGTTTAAAAAAAAATATAGTTACAATAAAAGACTTGTATGATGAAAACGGATGGATCCCTTTCCCACGTTTACAACAACTTTATGATCTTAAAGGAACTTTTCTCGACTATAACCGTATGCTTTTTAATATTCAAAGAAGTTGGAGACAAAATATTGATAAAAATCTACATTCCTCTTCTAATCTCACAGTATCTCCTTGGATTTATGATCTTACACGTTCTATTAAAGGAACAAAAGTGTTTTATAATAAACTGATAGGGAATTCCCTCCCACTCCCCAAATCTTGTTTGAAATGGGAAAATCAGCTGGGATGTTCTTTTCCATGGAATCAAATATTCAGTGTATATTGCCATGGGTTAAGGGACACAAAACTCAGGGATTTCCAGTTTAGATTTATTCATAAAGTAATATTTACTAAACGTGAGTTATTAAGAATGAAACTTATTGATAACGATGAGTGTTCTATGTGTCATACTCACAAAGAAAATGTTTTTCATGTTTATATCAAATGTCATGTTGTTAAGAATTTCTGGTCAGATTTCTGTATTTACTTGACTCATATCTTGCATAGAAAAATCCTTATAACTGACAACGAGCTCCTCTTTGGTACCTCTGATGTATTAACCATTTGATTGTAGCTGCTAAAAGATTTATCTTTGTCCAGTGTATTAAGAATGAAAATGTTGACTTTGTTGCTTTTAAGAACACAATAAGAAGTATCTATGACGTTGAATATCATATTGCACGTAGAAATAACAACTTCTCTGCCTTTAATAGAAAATGGGCTTTGTTTACTCAAACTGCAAAATAACTTATTCACTTGATGTTTGCAACATAATTTGATGTACCATAAATACCGCATCTTCTTAATTGTATACATAAATATGCCTTCATCTGTACCATGATGTGGATTATGCCCTAGGCCTCCTCTGTACCATATCCTTTTGAGAAGTACCTGTATTCATAAAGCTGTATTGCCTTTCGAGTGCATATGTATCCTGTGTATATGACTGAATAAAAATTTATAATAAAAAATAAAAAAAATATCTCAAACTTAACTTTTTATTTGTTGTTGTGGTTATCACATTCAAAGGAAACTTCAGTTACAAGGTTTAATTCAACTCTAAAATCCATCTAAAATGATACACTGAATATTATCGATATTTATAGCAATAGCTTGCAATATTAATAGTTATCGCAATAGTTTCTTTCAGTATCAATAGTTATTGCAATAGTGATTTCCAGACCAATAGTCACCCCTATTTAACACAACCCTGCACTATTAAGGCACTGTCCTTGTTTCAAACCTCGGTGATTGAGTGAAGAAATCAGGAATTGACAGTCTGAACTTTGATTCTTACAAAAATATAATGTCAGGTGAAAATAACTTTCATGCTACAAAAAAAACTCATTGGACTTACAGTACATAACATTTGCATCCACTCTCAATTTCTATGCATACCACCCCTATGCTGTTAGATCCAGAGCGTCTAATCAGAAGGTCGGTCTTTCGGTCCCCCGGCCTTGCAACACTATATCAACTTATTAAGTTGGAAACTGAACCGGTACAGATTTTTCATCCACCATTATGCTCAGCAATGGCAGCTACAAATCCGTAACTTCTTCATTCCAACCCAATAAGTACATAGAAAGTTGCATGATCGAATATATAAGTTCACATATTTGAAGGCATGTGTTTCAGGAAATAAATTGTTCCTTTTTTCATGATATTATGGACCCGTGAAGATCCGGGTAGAATAGGTCTTCAGCAACCCCTTCTTGCCGTAAAAGGCGACTATGACTATGCTTGTCGTTAGAGGCAACTAACGGGATCGGGTGGTCGAGTTCGCAGACTTGGTTGAAGCATGTCATCAATCCCAATTGCGTGGGCTGATGCTCATGATATCGTTCACTGGATTGTCTGGTCCAGATTCGATATTTACAGACCGTCGTCATATAGCTGGAATATTGCTGAGTGCGGCGTAAAACAACCAACCAACCAACCATGATTCCTTTACATTATAGTTGGGATGTTAGTGCGGTATGTTCCGAATCAGGAATCTATGATCGAGGAAACACCATGGAACTGCCCATAGCTCTGTGTAATGACAAGTCAAAATCAAAATGGTTTGTATGGGGCCGCACACACATATGGCTAACGCAGCTAGTGGGATATTAGTGTGAAGTTTAACCGTACCTACTGAGAAACTTAGGACAGAAAATCCAACCACTCTATCCAGTCAGGGAAGGTTGGGGGTTCAATCCGAAATACTAAAATATGTTAAAATATGGTACTTTTTGTTACCCTGCCTGGCACTGACCATCCTCCATCTTAAGATTTGCAGCCTACAGAAGAGAGGAACCACTGTGCCAGGGGAGGTAACTGTAATCGGTGACCTTGTATAGAGCTACCGCTAGTGAAGATGTTTTTGGCACTGTGTTAAAAGATCGTAGTGAAGGAGATTTCACTAATTTGTGCAGTTTTGTGTTGTCAGATAAATGTGAGAATTGTGTGATGTACCCTCACAGTGAGGTTACTGTGACGATGTTGAGATATTCGGATGGCTAGTAGATGATGATGTTGCAGGTGTGGCGGATATTCGAGCATCTGTATCATGGAGTGACCAGCCTCTACACCTGGGTCAGTAGGATGGACATAGATGGACTGGTGCTGGTCCACGATGGCGACCCCCCGGGGTAAGTGTGTTTGACCATCTGGGTCAGTAGGATGGACATAGACAGACTGGTGCTGGTCCACGGTGGCGACCCCTCAGGGTGAGTGTGTTTGACCATCTGGGTCAGTAGGATGGACAAAGACGGACTGGTGCTGGTCCACAATGTCGACCCCCCGGGGTAAGTGTGTTTGACCATCTGGGTCAGTAGGATGGACATAGACAGACTGGTGCTGGTCCACGGTGGCGACCCCTCAGGGTGAGTGTGTTTGACCATCTGGGTCAGTAGGATGGACATAGACAGACTGGTGCTGGTCCACGGTGGCGACCCCTCAGGGTGAGTGTGTTTGACCATCTGGGTCAGTAGGATGGACATAGACAGACTGGTGCTGGTCCACGGTGGCGACCCCTCAGGGTGAGTGTGTTTGACCATCTGGGTCAGTAGGATGGACATAGACAGACTGGTGCTGGTCCACGGTGGCGACCCCTCAGGGTGAGTGTGTTTGACCATCTGGGTCAGTAGGATGGAGATAGACGGACTGGTGCTGGTCAACGATGGCGACCCCCCGGGTGAGTGTGTTTGACCATCTGGGTCAGTAAGATGGACAAAGACGGACTGGTGCTGGTCCATGATGGCGACCGCTCAGGGTGAGTGTGTTTGACCATCTGGATCAGTAGGATGGACATAGACAGACTGGTGCTGGTCCACGGTGGCGACCCCTCAGGGTGAGTGTGTTTGACCATCTGGGTCAGTAGGATGGACATAGACAGACTGGTGCTGGTCCACGGTGGCGACCCCTCAGGGTGAGTGTGTTTGACCATCTGGGTCAGTAGGATGGACATAGACAGACTGGTGCTGGTCCACGGTGGCGACCCCTCAGGGTGAGTGTGTTTGACCATCTGGGTCAGTAGGATGGAGATAGACGGACTGGTGCTGGTCAACGATGGCGACCCCCCGGGTGAGTGTGTTTGACCATCTGGGTCAGTAAGATGGACAAAGACGGACTGGTGCTGGTCCATGATGGCGACCGCTCAGGGTGAGTGTGTTTGACCATCTGGATCAGTAGGATGGACAAAGACGGACTGGTGCTGGTCCACGATGGGGCTATCCCGGGTTAGGATGTTTGATAAGCTGTGTCAAAAGGATTGACATAGTTGGCTTGGTGTCTTTCCACGATGGTGACCACGAGGGTGAATGTGTTTGACTAGCTCCACATCTGGGTCAGTAAGATGGACAAAGATGAATTAGTAAAGTATGAGGAGTGCAAGGATGGAGCAAGTGGTGACAGTGAGTGTCTACTCCTATTTCAGATATGTGAACTTTCTACACAACGCCCTGGTGGCGGAGATGGAGAGTCAGGGGGGACAACTCCCCACCAGCCTCAGTCAAGTCTCACACCAGCGTGAGGTCATCCTCAGGGTCATCGAGGTCAGTTTTACCAAGTAAAGATGTCATGACTGATTCTAATCAGTGATTTATCTGCAATAATTGATCAATTGTAAGACTAGATTAATTTATGTTTTGGTATATGAATTTGAATGACCAGAACAAAAGACCACAATCAGAATGTAAGATTAGTAAACTACTTTTCTTGGACCTACTGGTCCATCGTTGAGCGATTACAACCATGAATACATACAACTTCAAAAATCTAACAAAGAGTGACAGTTAATGTTTTAGATTATTCTTGATCAGTATGTATTAATTTATAGTGCCAGATGATTTGCAGCCATGTTTGTTTACAAAAGAAATTAGTTTATCGAGCAAGGAACATGGCTTTGATGTATGGGTTCGGTGCAAGGTGACCCATGAAGATCCAGGGTAGAATAGGTCTTCAGCAACCAATGCTTGCTGTAAAAGGCAACTATGCTTGTCATAAGAGGCGACTTATCTGATCAGGTGGTGAGTCTCACTGACTTGGTTGATGCATGTCATCGTATCCCAACTGTGTGGATCGATGCTCATGATGTTAATCACTGGATTGAATGGCCAAGATGTGATTATTTACAGACCACTGTCATATGGCTGGAATATTGCTGAGTGCGGCGTTATACAACAAACAAAACAAAATCTGTTCAAGGTAATAATCAGTTGCATAGTTTTCAGATCAGAACGTAAAGTTTATTTAAGTGTCCATTCTGTGATAGACATCATTATATGATAGATATTATCATGTGTTAAACGTTTTGGGTATTCCAGGTTGGAATTGGTGCCTAGCAACCTGTGCTTGTCGTAAGATGTGTCTTAATGGATCGAGTAGTCAGATTCGGTGACTTGGCTGATTGTGTATCATTGTACCCCGACAGCGATGATTGTTGCTCATGATATCAACCACTGGAATGTCTTGTGCAGATTCAGTTATTTACGTGCTGCCATAATATAGCTGGAATATTGCTGGGAGTGGCATTAAACAACAAACACACTCACATATATTCTGGTTGCAGAGGCTGAGACGAAAGAATGTAAACAACGTTCTTACACTTGGATTTGGAGCTGTAAGTAGTTTATTTAGCTCACCTTACTTGGGCTGTTATTGCTACGTTTGTTCTTGTCATTATGTTAATTGATGATGCCCCTAAATCAGTTAAGATTTGGTTTTTACTTCAAATAAGTGGGGGGCAATAGAGGCCCAGTCGTCTAGGGCGCCACAATTCACATGTTTCTAGGTTTGTCAGCACCATACCCATGATCGTGGGTTTCACCAAAGTGGTAAACATCTCAGACCTGCATCACTTGGGGCTTTCCTTCCACATTAAGCTGACACGCCATGATATAACTGGAATACTGTTAAAAGCGTTGTTAAACCCAACTCACTCACTCACTGAAATGAGTGAGTAAGGGACTGACCATTGGACATCTGAGTAAATTCCTCCAGATTTCCAAATTTCCAGTTTGTGAATCGATGTTATAAAGGAGCATTGTCCTTTGTATATGTGTAGACTTTCCTTGATGTGATTGTCTGATTTCGGATTAACAAGAGCCAGACTAATGTGGTTTTACTGTATAACTGTGACTGACTCACAATTGTCACATCTGGGATTAACAAGAGGCAAACGTACAAGGTTTTTCTGTATTGCAGATGTCTGACAACCCGAAGGCACACATCAGTCACATCCCCAGTTTGGAGTACAGGTTCCCGAACAGTGCATTCAACAGACTCCAGTACAGCCCTTGGAAGACACTGCTGTCTAGGTCCGTGAACACAGTACCAGGGTTAGAGTAGGTCCAGTAGCCCCTGGAAGACACTGCTCTCTAGGTCCGTGAACACAGTACCAGAGTTAGAGTAGGTCCAGTAGCCCCTGGAAGACGCTGCTGTCTAGGTCCGTGAACACAGCACCAGGGTTAGAGTAGGTCCGTGGACACAGTACCAGGGTTAGAGTAGGTCCAGTAGCCCCTGGAAGACACTGCTGTCTAGGTCCGTGAACACAGCACCGGGGTTAGAGTAGGTCCAGTAGCCCCTGGAAGACACTGCTCTCTAGGTCCGTGAACACAGTACCAGGGTAAGAGTAGGTCCAGTAGCCCCTGGAAGACACTGCTCTCTAGGTCCGTGAACACAGTACCAGGGTAAGAGTAGGTCCAGTAGCCCCTGGAAGACGCTGCTGTCTAGGTCCGTGAACACAGCACCAGGGTTAGAGTAGGTCCAGTAGCCCCTGGAAGACACTGCTGTCTAGGTCCGTGAACACAGTACCAGGGTTAGAGTAGGTCCAGTAGCCCCTGGAAGACGCTGCTGTCTAGGTCCCTGAACACAGCACCAGGGTTAGAGTAGGTCCAGTAGCCCCTGGAAGACACTGCTGTCTGGGTCCGTGAACACAGCACCAGGGTTAGAGTAGGTCCAGTAGCCCCTGGAAGACACTGCTCTCTAGGTCCGTGAACACAGCACCAGGGTTAGAGTAGGTCCAGTAGCCCCTGGAAGACACTGCTGTCTAGGTCCGTGAACACAGTACCAGGGGTAGAATAGGTCCAGTAGCCCCTGGAAGACACTGCTGTCTAGGTCCGTGAACACAGTACCAGGGTTAGAGTAGGTCCAGTAGCCCCTGGAAGACACTGCTGTCTCGGTCCGTGAACACAGTACCAGGGTTAGAGTAGGTCCAGTAGCCCCTGGAAGACGCTGCTGTCTAGGTCCGTGAACACAGCACCAGGGTTAGAGTAGGTCCGTGAACACAGTACCAGGGTTAGACTAGGTCCAGTAGCCCCTGGAAGACACTTCTGTCTAGGTTCGTGAACACAGTACAGGGGTTTAGGAGTAGGTCTGTGAACACAGTACCAGGGTTAGAGTAGGTCGAATAGCCCCTGGAAGATGCTGCTGTCTAGGTCCGTGAACACAGTACCAGGGTTAGAGTAGGTCCAGTAGCCCCTGGAAGACACTGCTGTCTAGGTCCGCCAACACAGTACCAGGGTTAGAGTAGGTCCAGTAGCCCCTGGAAGACACTGCTGTCTGGGTCCGTGAACACAGTACCAGGGTTAGAGAAGGTCCAGTAGCCCCTGGAAGACACTGCTGTCTGGGTCCGTGAACACAGTACCAGGGTTAGAGTAGGTCCAGTAGCCCCTGGAAGACACTGCTGTCTAGGTCCGTGAACACAGCACCAGGGTTAGAGTAGGTCCAGTAGCCCCTGGAAGACACTGCTGTCTGGGTCCGTGAACACAGTACCAGGGTTAGAGTAGGTCCAGTAGCCCCTGGAAGACACTGCTGTCTGGGTCCGTGAACACAGTACCAGGGTTAGAGTAGGTCCGTGAACACAGTACCAGGGGTAGAGTAGGTCCAGTAGCCCCTGGAAGACGCTGCTGTCTGGGTCCGTGAACACAGTACCAGGTTTAGAGTAGGTCCAGTAGCCCCTGGAAGACACTGCTGTCTAGGTCCGTGAACACAGCACCAGGGTTATAGTAGGTCCAGTAGCCCCTGGAAGACACTGCTGTCTAGGTCCGTGAACACAGTACCAGGGTTAGAGTAGGTCCAGTAGCCCCTGGAAGACGCTGCTGTCTAGGTCCGTGAACACAGCACCAGGGTTAGAGTAGGTCCAGTAGCCCCTGGAAGACACTGCTGTCTGGGTCCGTGAACACAGTACCAGGGTTAGAGTAGGTCCAGTAGCCCCTGGAAGACACTGCTCTCTAGGTCCGTGAACACAGTACCAGAGTTAGAGTAGGTCCAGTAGACCCTGGAAGACACTGCTGTCTAGGTCCTTGAACACAGTACCAGGGGTAGAGTAGGTCCGTGGACACAGTACCAGGGTTAGAGTAGGTCCGTGAACACAGCACCAGGGTTATAGTAGGTCCGTGGACACAGTACCAGGGTTAGAGTAGGTCCGTGGACACAGTACCAGGGTTAGAGTAGGTCCGTGAACACAGCACCAGGGTTTTAGTAGGTCCAGTAGCCCCTGGAAGACACTGCTGTCTAGGTCCGTGAACACAGCACCAGGGTTAGAGTAGGTCCGTGAACACAGCACCAGGGTTAGAGTAGGTCTGTGAACACAGTACCAGGGTTAGAGTAGGTCCAGTAGCCCCTTGAAGACACTACTCTCTAGGTCCTTGAACACAGTACCAGGGGTAGAGTAGGTCCAGTAGCCCCTGGAAGACACTACTGTCTAGGTCCGTGAACACAGTACCAGGGTTAGAGTAGGTCCAGTAGCCCCTGGAAGACACTGCTCTCTAGGTCCGTGCAGGTACCAGGGTTAGAGTAGGTCCAGTAGCCCCTGGAAGACACTACTGTCTAGGTCCGTAAACACAGTACCAGGGTTAGAGTAGGTCCAGTAGCCCCTGGAAGACACTGCTGTCTCGGTCCGTGAACACAGTACCAGGGTCAGAATAGGTCCAGTAGCCCCTGGAAGACACTGCTGTCTAGGTCCGTGAACACAGTACCAGGGTCAGAAGAGGTCCAGTAGCCCCTGGAAGACACTGCTGTCTAGGTCCGTGATCACAGTACCAGGGTTAGAGTAGGTCTGTGAACACAGTACCAGGGTTAGAGTAGGTCCAGTAGCCCCTGGAAGACACTGCTGTCTAGGTCTGTGAACACAATACCAGGGTTAGAATAGGTCCAGTAGCCCCTGGAAGACGCTGCTGTCTAGGTCCGTGATCACAGTACCAGGGTTAGAGTAGGTCCAGTAGCCCCTGGAAGATTCTGCTGTCTGGGTCCGTGAACACAGCACCAGGGTTAGAGTAGGTCCAGTAGCCCCTGGAAGACGCTGCTGTCTGGGTCCGTGAACACAGCACCAGGGTTAGAGTAGGTCCAGTAGCCCCTGGAAGACACTGCTGTCTAGGTCCGTGAACACAGTACCAGGGTTAGAGTAGGTCTGTGAACACAGTACCAGGGTTAGAGTAGGTCTGTGAACACAGTACCAGGGTTAGAGTAGGTCCAGTAGCCCCTGGAAGACACTGCTGTCTGGGTCCGTGAACACAATACCAGGTTTAGAGGTTGACCTTATTTTTAACCAAAAACATCTGTAAAACCAACTACTACATGTTTGCCTACAGCAACTAGCAGGTTGTGGTGGCTTTAAGACGACTGTGTGTTGCAGGATCGGAGACCAGCTGATGTCACTGCTCCTGGAGCGTACCAGTGTGTTCTACCTTGTCCCACCCTCCAACTACGTCCAGCTGACAGGTGCTTGCTGTGATTTCTACCCAGTTTTATACCAGGGACTGGCCTGTGTTCACTATACGTCCTGGGATGACAGTGACACTAACACTAGATCTGTTGGCCAAGTCCAGAAATTTTCCTCAGGACTCGGTTGAATTAATTAATTTGTGGACTGGTGTTGGGTTATGTTTAGGTTATTCTCCCTGATGATTTGTACACTGTCAACTGGTTGGCTTGCTCTGAATCTCGTTAATCATGTCTCATCATTGGTGACTATATGTGGGAAACTTGTAACACACATTAGGAATAAATGACAAGTAGGTGTTGTTTGTCGTACAATAGAACATTGCAGGGAGGGTCAACTATTATGGGCATGGACCAGAGTTAATTATTCTCCCTACGGTGTTTTATTGTATGATAATCGTTTATTTCTAATATGAGATATCAACATTATGTACAGCCTCTTAAAAGATGTTGATAAAATGTACAAACTTTAAAAATATTACCTAAAAACCTCGGAAATGTCCATTTTACGAACAGGTGGGTTAAGTTTAGTATTTCCTGCATATTTTCACAATCCTCAGAATTGGTCCTCTAAACCTCACACTTGTCCTAAGAGACGACACAGGCTTATTGTGTGTAATCGTACCCATAGCCTGGATCGTTGTTCATGCTGTCAACCACCGCTTGATTTCTGCTGCTTATGGTGTATAACGTTATTAATATATTCACCATTTGTCGAAATTTTGAAAACTTAAGGACCCAAGTTCCCTTCTCTCCTAGGTGTGCCTGTGTATGAGCTGTGGCCCAGTGACAGCGGGAAGTCTTTGATTATTAAACCAGTCTGCCGGAAGAACAAAGTTACAAAGAATCATCACTTTCCAAAGAAAACAAAATCAGGTAAAACCATAATTCAGACATGCCTTAAGACTTCAAGGGACACTGCGTTCGCTTGTCACGCCGAAGACCCTGGTTCGATTCCCCACATGGGTACATTGGGTGAAGCCCATTTCTGGTGCCCCGAGCCCGGATATTGCTGGAATATTGCTAAAAGCGGCGTAAAACCATACTCACTCACTAAAGGGCTGTGAGGTGGCCCAGTGGGTAAAGCTAAGACCAGGGTTTGATTCCCCACATGTGCTGCCCATTCTTTCCAAATAACATGTTATTCTCAACTTGCAACCTGACAAAGTTTGTACTGTCATGCCTGGCTGGGTATCTGTCTTGTTAATCCACCCAGTGAGACACACATGTCATTTGACAAAATCAGCAGAATACCTCCTACAAATATTTAACAGTAGTAATCTCACATTGTTTTCTTGAGCCTAACTAATCATGTTGAAGAAATTACAGATTTGGGAACTCCCAAGAAGCGTCATGTCCCGACCACACCTGGTGTAAAGAGACAGACTGGGTTGAAGAGAAAGAGAGACGAGGGAAGTAATGATGGGAAGAAGGCCCGACGGAGAGGTGAAAACACGGGGGGATCGAAGACGTTCAACCCCTTTGAGTGAGTCTCAGGTTCCCTGGCTTTGTTGGAAGGCTTCTACGTTTGGGTAGCAAATAAGGAGACAAACGGAGAATCTCACCTGAGTGTCTTCTGAGATCAAATATGTCAAGATGAGTTGATAAAAGTTGAAAATATCCAAGTCTTGACAAGGAAATTTGACATTTATCAGCGAGTCTTGATGTATTTCATCTCAGAAGACGCTCAGGTGAGATTCCATTTATCCTTTAGCCTCCCAACTTTTTAAGTTTGTGAACATTAATAACAAGTTTCTTGAGTTTGAAACCTACTGCTAACAAGCTTCAGTGGCAGAGATGTTGATGTCATGGTAACCAGTGATGTCACAATGGCCTGCAAATCATTGTGATGCAATTTCATTGTAGCGATATCTCCTAGGAGAAAGCTGTAGATCTCACCCAAGTGACATATCCGGTGTAAGCAAGTTTTGAATGATAAATAAGCTTGTCAATATTGATCTACAAGCTCCAGGTATGACAGTTCTGATTTGAAATTTGAATTGTTGAATGTGGCTTGTTCTAATGGCAGTATCTAATAAATTTCAACATTTTGTTTTATGATAAGCAGTAAGGTAACACTAGTCTGAGTAGTTTCAAGTCCGGGTTATTCCAAGAAATCATTAATATTTCTTTATGAAAAATATAACATAATTACAATATGAATCGATACGTAATGTGATACATTGATAATCAATCATACTCACTTATTTACTCTCCAGGTTTGGATGGTCAGATTCGCTGACTTGGTTGATGCATGTCATTGTATCCCAATTGCGTGGATCGATGCTCATGATGTCAATCACTGGATTGTCTGGTCCAGACTCAATTATTTACAGATCCCGTCATATAGCTGTAATATTGCTGAGTGGGGCGTTAAAAAACAAACAAACAACATTTACTCTCACTCACTCACTCACACACTCACTCACTCACTCACTCTCTCACTCACTCACTCACTCACTCCATCACTTTGGTTAGTAGTGTCTTCAAATGATTGTGTTTCAGTTTCCACATGACGACCCCTCGCCATATCATGATGTACAGTAAAGATCTTCGAGAACATCTTCCCAAGTCTTGTAAGCTAAAACTCATGTCCTGATTGGTCAGATGTATAGTGGACACCAGGTGGTCAGTGGTCTGCTGCCACAATTCCTTCTTTCTCCGTACCTGCATGGATGCCCAAGGGTCACAGTTGGAATTAGTTGTAAAGCATCGTCAATACTTCCGGAGTTTGTGTCCACTTCATTCCTCCACCACCCATACATACTTACATAGAATATCATGCTTACTTCATAAATTTGATACGTTATCAATGTTACAAATTAGGGCTGGGACAGGTATCTCGGGTCGGATGGGTCCTGAATAGGACCCGGGTACCCACAGGACTACCTGGACCTGTGGTTAGTCACGTGATAATTGTTTAATGACAAAAACTCACTGTAGCTCAGTGGTTACACTACAAGTCGCTAATGTTCACATTTCTTTCTGGGAATGCACACATTCCTTTTGACTTGTATATGTTGAGTAAAGATAACGCTTCAGTCAACTTCAATGTACACATGATCTGATCGTTTTATACATGTATCGGAATAGTTTTTGCCAGGGCTGCGGTAAAACTATTCCCGAATAGACAAAAAAAATCCCAACTCTTGAGACCTAAAACGGGTACCCTGGTAGGGTCGGGTAACAGGGGGTCTGGTACCCGGGTAGGGTCGGGTAATAGAGGGGTAGGGTACCCAGGTAGTAAATTTGGACTTGTCACAGCCCTATTACAAATGTATTGAGTAAACCAAGTTACGGTAATAGCACGATGCTGTAACATTGAATGATGTGAGTGTCAGTGATGTACCTGCTGCAGTCTGTCTGAGTGGCCTGGAGCCGTCTGTGGTGGGGGGCACCTGCCTCAGTGGCCAGATCCTCCATCACATCCGTGTCGTCCCCTGTGTCCCGGAGAGGACGGAGTTGGAGGACACAGCTGACACACACACAACACACATTGGTCCTCTGTGTCAGCAGATCCTACAGAACCACAGGTAAGGGATTCTTACATACACAGCTTTATGGATGGACCATTTATTATTTTGGGAGGTTGGGGATTTTGGTTAGCGACAATATTTGTTCGCTGCTGCCTGATGGCAATTTTTTTTCTCTGAAAGGAGGAGCTAAACAAATATTTTGGGACCGACAAGAAAGGACATCCACCAAAAAAGTTAAAATGAATCTATTTTTAGAAGATAACCCAGATGTGATTGCCCTTATTTACCAGTAATCCCTGTATCTTCTCATGAAGAATGACCTCACACTGCTCGGTGATGAATGACCTCACACTGCTCGGTGATGAATGACCTCACACTGCTCGGTGATGAATGACCTCACACTGCTAGGTGATGAATGACCTCACACTGCTAGGTGATGAATGACCTCACACTGCTAGGTGATGAATGACCTCACACTGCCTGGAGATGAATGACCTCACCCTGCTCGGTGATGAATGACCTCACACTGCTAGGTGATGAATGACCTCACACTGCCTGGAGATGAATGACCTCACCCTGCTCGGTGATGAATGACCTCACACTGCTCGGTGATAAATGACCTCACACTGCCCGGTGATGAATGACCTCACACTGCCCGGTGATGAATGACCTCACACTGCTAGGTGATGTGGACGGTAGCTTCAAGGGTTGGGGGGCAGTTCATATTTCAGGGGTTGTTGGTGGTCGTCCATGTGACCCGGGAGGACGAAGATGGAGGACATAGCTGACACACACTCAGCACAAATTGATCCTCTGTGTCAGCAGATCATACAGAACTACAGAACTACAGAACCACAGGCAAAGGTTGGGGGGCAGTTTATATTTCAGGGTTGTGGTTAGCCAAGTTCTCAGAGCTTTAATTGTCCCTCTCCCCCATAGCTACCTACGCTGGTCGTACTAGGCAACATGACAAGTTTGGGGGTTATTGTTCGCTGACTTGGTTTGTTTGTTTGTTTGTTTGTCTGTTGTTTAACGCCGCCAAAAGCAATTTTCCAGCTATATGACGGCGGTCTGTAAATAATCAAGTTTGGACCAGACAATCCAGTGATTGACAGCATGAGCATCGTTCCACGCAGTTAGGATCGATGACATGCATCAACCAAGTCTCGCTAGCGAGCCTGACTACCCGATCCCGTTAGTCGCCTTTTACGGCAAGCATTGGTAGCTGAAGACCTATTCTACCCCGGATCTTCATGGGTCTCGCTGACTTGGTTGCGTGTGTAACCATACGCCATAATACCCTGACCCTGTGGCTCATTGTTCATCACATCAATCACTGGATTATCTGGTTCAGACTTGACTATTTACAGACCGCCTCATTTAGCTTGATTGTTGCTTAATTTGACTTTAAACCACAAATACGGGAGACACCATCGCGATTCCTATTGTTATGACTTTATGATTGTGTTATGTTATGGCAAATGTTCATCAAATTGTGCTACCTCTCCGCAATGATTAAAGACAACGACTGAATATTCTCGCTCCAGGAAATGTCGATACAGATCACTGCTCAACCACTACTGTAGAACAAAGTCACAAATGGTTAAAAGGTCAAGGTCATCTGACAGAATACCCAGGTTGTCAGCTCCTGTCTTCAAGAGAGGTATGAATCTCAGTTTGGAGAAGTGGAGAAAATCGGAGCAAAGGTTTAATTTTCCTTTTTTTAACTCAGATTGGCGAGGATGTTGTATGTGGTTTTAACTTTTGGTCCAGTTCTGCAGATTACTTGCTTACTGCAGGGACACAATCTGCAATCTGCATATTCACACCCAACCACCACCCTTCCACCCACCAACCACTCACTAAACCCACTTGCTTGCTCACTCACTCACTCACTCACTCACTCACTCACTCACTCACTCACTCACTGAAAAGCTCACTCACTCACTCGCTCACACACTTACCAAAAAACTCACCCACTCACTCGCTTACACACTCACCGGAAAGCTCACTCACTCACCTAAAAGCTCACTCACTCATTCACCACAAAGCTCACTCACCAGAAAGCTCACTCACCAAAAAGCTCGCTCACTCAGTCACTCACTGACTAACTCACTCAGCGAAAAGCTCACTCACTCACTCACTCACTCACTCACTCACTCACTCACTCACTCACTCACTCCAGGTGCTGCAGGGACAAGGTCAGACGTCCCATCCCTGAAGAGGTCAGGCTGCAGGAAGCTGACCACAGGCCAACTGCTGGACGACTTCACCCCTCACAGACAGGTGACTGCTTCTGTGTTCCATTGTCTGTACCCAGTCGGTGCACATCTTGATTGTCTTATTGTTATAGTGTTACCCTAGTCAGCTCCCTGTTACCACTCCAGCTTCCACAGAATGGAAGACCGACAACTGGTCGTCTACATCACATTTTCAGATTTCCATTTTGTGGAAGCCTCGGTGGCTGAGTGGGCTAGATCGCTGTCATTGTGTGGACGTCTCGGTGGCTGAGTGGGCTAGGTCACTGACATTGTGTGGAAGCCTCGGTGGCTGAGTGGGCTAGATCGCTGACATTATGTGGAAGCCTCGGTGGCTGAGTGGGCTAGATCGCTGACATTGTGTGGAAGCCTAGGTGGCTGAGTGGGCTAGGTCGCTGACATTGTGTGGAAGCCTCGGTGTCTGAGTGGGCTAGGTCGCTGACATTGTGTGGAAGCCTCGGTGGCTGAGTGGGCTAGATCGCTGACATTGTGTGGAAGCCTCGGTGGCTGAGTGGGCTAGATCGCTGACATTGTGTGGAAGCCTAGGTGGCTGAGTGGGCTAGGTCGCTGACATTGTGTGGAAGCCTCGGTGGCTGAGTGGGCTAGATCGCTGACATTGTGTGGAAGCCTCGGTGGCTGAGTGGGCTAGATCGCAGACATTGTGTGGGAGCCTCGGTGGCTGAGTGGGCTAGATCGCTGACATTGTGTGGAAGCCTCGGTGGCTGAGTGGGCTAGATCGCTGACATTGTGTGGAAGCCTCGGTGGCTGAGTGGGCTAGATCGCTGACATTGTGTGGAAGCCTCGGTGGCTGAGTGGGCTAGATCGCTGACATTGTGTGGAAGCCTCGGTGGCTGAGTGGGCTAGATCGCTGACATTGTGTGGAAGCCTCGGTGGCTGAGTGGGCTAGATCGCTGACATTGTGTGGAAGCCTCGGTGGCTGAGTGGGCTAGATCGCTGACATTGTGTGGAAGCCTCGGTGGCTGAGTGGGCTAGATCGCTGACATTGTGTGGAAGCCTCGGTGGCTGAGTGGGCTAGATCGCTGACATTGTGTGGAAGCCTCGGTGGCTGAGTGGGCTAGATCGCTGACATTGTGTGGAAGCCTCGGTGGCTGAGTGGGCTAGATCGCTGACATTGTGTGGAAGCCTCGGTGGCTGAGTGGGCTAGATCGCTGACATTGTGTGGGAGCCTCGGTGGCTGAGTGGGCTAGATCGCTGACATTGTGTGGAAGCCTCGGTGGCTGAGTGGGCTAGGTCGCTGACATTGTATGGGAGCCTCGGTGGCTGAGTGGGCTAGATCGCTGACATTGTGTGGAAGCCTCGGTGGCTGAGTGGGCTAGATCGCTGACATTGTGTGGAAGCCTCGGTGGCTGAGTGGGCTAGATCGCTGACATTGTGTGGAAGCCTCGGTGGCTGAGTGGGCTAGATCGCTGACATTGTGTGGAAGCCTCGGTGGCTGAGTGGGCTAGATCGCTGACATTGTGTGGAAGCCTCGGTGGCTGAGTGGGCTAGATCGCTGACATTGTGTGGAAGCCTCGGTGGCTGAGTGGGCTAGATCGCTGACATTGTGTGGAAGCCTCGGTGGCTGAGTGGGCTAGATCGCTGACATTGTGTGGAAGCCTCGGTGGCTGAGTGGGCTAGATCGCTGACATTGTGTGGAAGCCTCGGTGGCTGAGTGGGCTAGATCGCTGACATTGTGTGGAAGCCTCGGTGGCTGAGTGGGCTAGATCGCTGACATTGTGTGGAAGCCTCGGTGGCTGAGTGGGCTAGATCGCTGACATTGTGTGGAAGCCTCGGTGGCTGAGTGGGCTAGATCGCTGACATTGTGTGGAAGCCTCGGTGGCTGAGTGGGCTAGATCGCTGACATTGTGTGGAAGCCTCGGTGGCTGAGTGGGCTAGATCGCTGACATTGTGTGGAAGCCTCGGTGGCTGAGTGGGCTAGATCGCTGACATTGTGTGGAAGCCTCGGTGGCTGAGTGGGCTAGATCGCTGACATTGTGTGGAAGCCTCGGTGTCTGAGTGGGCTAGATCGCTGACATTGTGTGGAAGCCTCGGTGGCTGAGTGGGCTAGATCGCTGACATTGTGTGGAAGCCTCGGTGGCTGAGTGGGCTAGATCGCTGACATTGTGTGGAAGCCTCGGTGGCTGAGTGGGCTAGATCGCTGACATTGTGTGGAAGCCTCGGTGGCTGAGTGGGCTAGATCGCTGACATTGTGTGGAAGCCTCGGTGGCTGAGTGGGCTAGATCGCTGACATTGTGTGGAAGCCTCGGTGGCTGAGTGGGCTAGATCGCTGACATTGTGTGGAAGCCTCGGTGGCTGAGTGGGCTAGATCGCTGACATTGTGTGGAAGCCTCGGTGGCTGAGTGGGCTAGATCGCTGACATTGTGTGGAAGCCTCGGTGGCTGAGTGGGCTAGATCGCTGACATTGTGTGGAAGCCTCGGTGGCTGAGTGGGCTAGATCGCTGACATTGTGTGGAAGCCTCGGTGGCTGAGTGGGCTAGATCGCTGACATTGTGTGGAAGCCTCGGTGGCTGAGTGGGCTAGATCGCTGACATTGTGTGCTGGCGATTAGGTGCCTCACTCTGGCAGTGTGGTTTCGAATCCTGATGAGTGAGTGAGTGAGTATGGTTTTACGCCGCTTTTAGCAATATTCCAGCAATATCACGGCGGGGACACCAGAAATGGGCCGAATCCTGATGACTTGGTATAAATGATTGGCAAAAGAAACAAAGAATGCACGTTCATTGAAGTTGATGTTTTTTTCTGAAAACAAGCCTGCATGATATTTTTTGGTTATTCATTTCAGGTGTTCCTCTTCTTGCGGGCACTTTGTATCAAGGTCATTCCGCTGGAGATGTTCGGGGATGATCGCAACAGAAAGGTTTTCTTCAAGCGTATCCTTGTCTTCTGAGGTGGCATTCTGGGTGTCCATTGTCCATAGTACATTGTATCTCCAGCTTGTCTCACCCATTGTTGTTCCAGAGCTGAATAGATCACCAGTATTTCATGATAGGGACAGAATAGATCACCAGTATTTCATGATGGGGACAGAATAGATCACAAGTATTTCATGATGGGGACAGAATAGATCACCAGTATTTCATGATGGGGACAGAATGAGTTTCCAGTATTTCATGATGGGTACAGAATAGATCACCAGTATTTCATGATTGGGACAGAATAGATCACCAGTATTTCATGATTGGGACAGAATAGATCACCAGTATTTCATGATGGGAACAGAAGAGATCAGCAGTATTTCATGATGGGGACAGAATGGGTTTCCAATATTTCATGATGGGGACAGAATAGATCATCAGTATTTCATGATGGGGACAGAATAGATCACCAGTACTTCATGATCAGGACAGAATGGGTGTCCAGTATTTCATGATTGGGACAGAATGGATCACCAGTATTTCATGATTGGGACAGAATAGATCAGCAGTATTTCATGATTGGGACAGAATGGGTTTCCAGTATTTCATGATGGGGACAGAATAGATCACCAGTATTTCATGATGGGGACAGAAAAGATCACCAGTATTTCATGATGGGGACAGAATGGGTTTCCAGTATTTCATGATGGGGACAGAATGGATCACCAGTATTTCATGATTGGGACAGAATAGATCAGCAGTATTTCATGATGGGGACAGAATAGATCACCAGTATTTCATGATGGGGACAGAATAGATCACCAGTATTTCATGATGGGGACAGAATAGATCACCGGTATTTCATGATGGGGACAGAATAGATCAGCAGTATTTCATGATGGGGACAGAATAGATCACCAGTATTTCATGATGGGGACAGAATGGGTTTCCAGTATTTCATGATGGGGACAGAATGGATCAGCAGTATTTCATGATGGGGACAGAATGGGTTTCCAGTATTTCATGATGGGGACAGAATGGATCACCAGTATTTCATGATTGGGACAGAATAGATCAGCAGTATTTCATGATGGGGACAGAATGGGTTTCCAGTATTTCATGATGGGGACAGAATAGATCACCAGTATTTCATGATGGGGACAGAATAGATCACCAGTATTTCATGATGGGGACAGAATGGGTTTCCAGTATTTCATGATGGGGACAGAATGGATCACCAGTATTTCATGATTGGGACAGAATAGATCAGCAGTATTTCATGATGGGGACAGAATAGATCAGCAGTATTTCATGATGGGGACAGAATAGATCAGCAGTATTTCATGATGGGGACAGAATAGATCACCAGTATTTCATGATGGGGACAGAATAGATCACCAGTATTTCATGATGGGGACAGAATGGGTTTCCAATATTTCATGATGGGGACAGAATAGATCACCAGTAATTCAGGATGGGGACAGAATAGGTCACCAGTATTTCATGATGGGGACAGAATGGATCACCAATATATCATGATGGGGACAGAATAGATCACCAGTATTTCATGATGGGGACAGAATGGATCACCAGTATTTCATGATGGGGACAGAATGGATCACCAATATATCATGATGGGGACAGAATAGATCACCAGTATTTCATGATTGGGACAGAATGGATCACCAGTATTTCATGATGGGGACAGAATGGGTTTCCAGTATTGCATGATGGGGACAGAATGGGTTTCCAGTATTGCATGATGGGGACAGAATGGGTTTCCAGCAGTCCAAGCTTCCCTCCTGTGATCCTGTAGTTCCTGAAACAATCCATATGTAGGTGTAACCATCACTCCGTCCTCCACATAGATGTACCGTATATCGCTGTGTATAAGGTGTAACCATCACTCCGTCCTCCACATAGATGTACCGTATACCGCTGTGTATAAGGTGTAACCATCACTCCGTCCTCCACATAGATGTACCGTATACCGCTGTGTATAAGGTGTAACCATCACTCCGTCCTCCACAAAGATGTACCGTATATCGCTGTGTATAAGGTGTAACCATCACTCCGTCCTCCACATAGATGTACCGTATATCGCTGTGTATAAGGTGTCACCATCACTCCGTCCTCCACATAGATGTACCGTATACCGCTGTGTATAAGGTGTAACCATCACTCCGTCCTCCACATAGATGTACCGTATACCGCTGTGTATAAGGTGTAACCATCACTCCGTCCTCCACATAGATGTACCGTATATCGCTGTGTATAAGGTGTAACCATCACTCCGTCCTCCACATAGATGTACCGTATACCGCTGTGTATAAGGTGTAACCATCACTCCGTCCTCCACATAGATGTACCGTATATCGCTGTGTATAAGGTGTAACCATCACTCCGTCCTCCACATAGATGTACCGTATACCGCTGTGTATAAGGTGTAACCATCACTCCGTCCTCCACATAGATGTACCGTATACCGCTGTGTATAAGGTGTAACCATCACTCCGTCCTCCACATAGATGTACCGTATATCGCTGTGTATAAGGTGTAACCATCACTCCGTCCTCCACATAGATGTACCGTATACCGCTGTGTATAAGGTGTAACCATCACTCCGTCCTCCACATAGATGTACCGTATATCGCTGTGTATAAGGTGTAACCATCACTCCGTCCTCCACATAGATGTACCGTATATCGCTGTGTATAAGGTGTAACCATCACTCCGTCCTCCACATAGATGTACCGTATACCGCTGTGTATAAGGTGTAACCATCACTCCGTCCTCCACATAGATGTACCGTATACCGCTGTGTATAAGGTGTAACCATCACTCCGTCCTCCACATAGATGTACCGTATATCGCTGTGTATAAGGCGACCCCCCGTATAAGACGACCCCCCGTACACGCCTTCAAAATCAACCCAAAATCCTATACTCCGTGTATAAGGCGACCTGGAATGAAGCACATCACAAATGCACACACAAACCTTATAAACTGACGTCCAAAAGAAACTTTACCAGAGTTTGAAATCACTCTTGCGCAAAAACAACAAAACATACATGCATGAAGTAAGTGTATTGAGAAGATCAATATATCAATATAATCAACACTGAAAATGACGTCAGAGCCCCCCAAAGTTGGGTGTGGTACAAAACTCGAGCTTTAAGAATCATGGACAATAGGCAGACTACATAAACAATCGCTCACGTTCAATAACAAGTCATAAGTAGCGTGTGTGACCACGAAATGCCTCAATACACTCAAAAACTCTTCGACGCACAGAAAAAGTCAGTCGTCTGATGAGGTCACGTGGGATTTGACGCCATTCTTTTTGGAGGGCCAAGATCAGTTCTTGCCGGTTGGCTGGAGAGTGTGGTCGTTGTTGAACACGACGATCCATCAAGTCCCAGAGGTGTTCTATCGGGGATATGTCGGGTGAGCGTGCAGGCCACGGCAGGACGTTGACGGCTGCGAGGAAGTTAGTGACAATTCTGGCTGTATGGGCACTAGCGTTGTCATGCTGATAAATGACACCACGTGGCTGCTGTTGGAGAAATGGTAGGACAACTGGACAAAGAATGTTATCCATGTAACGCTGAGCTGTCAAGTTTCCGTCAACGATGACCAGCGGTGTCCTCTCCTGCCCACAGATCCCTCCCCACACCATGACACTCCCTCCACCATATGGTACGACCTCCTGCACGCAACACGCCGCCATTCGTTCACCCCTTAGGCGGTAAACACGCTGTCTTCCATCAGCCCTAAACATACAGAATCAACTTTCGTCAGTGAAGACAACCCTCTGCCAGTCACGTCGTTGCCAACGTTGTACAGTCCGGACCCAATGTTGCGCTGTCAATAGCTGTCCTCTGTGTGGTCTAAAAGCCCTGATTCCATGAGCCCTGGGTCTCCTGGCCACTGTCTGTTGACTAACCCTGTGACCTAAGGCATTTGTCGCCGATGACATCACTGTCAGGAAGCGATTTCGGAGGTGCAAGGTACGCAAGTAACGGTCATCATGGGGCGTGGTCACCCTGGGTCTGCCTGTTCTTGGCCTGTCAGCGGTCCGCCCTGTCTGTCTGTAACGTTGCATCAAGTTGGTAACGGCAACACGGGAGCAACCGAAGGTTCGTGCAATATGGGCGTGGGTTGGCTCCCATCTGTGGCTCGTTCACGTTCAACTGTGAGTCTTGGCATTTCTTTTGTGTTTTTTTATCACTGTGGATGTCTGACTTGCCGTTGCAATTGTTTTATACCCTTACCCGCACGTGCATTTGCAGTTGTCCGTGGTGCACGTGTTTTTCACTTTTTCGCGTGTTATCTCGCAAACATGTAACAGACGATTAACATTTTCTGCATACACTATTGTTGTATATAGGTTATTATGTGTTTTAGATAGACTTCATTGAAAAAAAAATTATACTTTGTCTGAAATTTATATTTTCAGTTGGTAAAGTTTCTTTTGGACGTCAGTTTATATGCAATAAAAATATGTTTATCTTGCGTTGTTTTTTCTACGATGATTGGTCGTGTGTGTAACTCCAGCACATGTTGCCATTTTGTGTTTACACGGTACGACACCATATTGGTGCCCGTAAAATAATATTCATTTATGAAGTAATAACAATAATACGGTAACTGAGGGTTAGAAGGACTATCCAGAGAAGTGTAACTGTCACAAGAGTATTGCAATAGTCACAAACACTATTACTCCCATTTTGGATTCCGAGTTAGAAGTAGTCCTGAGCATCAGGTGACTAAATAGATCGGGTGTTCAGGTGACTAAATAGATCGGGTGTTCAGGTGACTAAATAGATCGGGTGTTCAGGTGACTAAATAGATCGGGTGTTCAGGTGACTAAATAGATCGGGTGTTCAGGTGACTAAATAGATCGGGTGTTCAGGTGACTAAATAGATCGGGTGGTCAGGTGACTTAATGGATCCGGTGGTCAGGTGACTAAATAGTTCGGGTGGTCAGGTGACTTAATGGATCCGGTGGTCAGGTGACTAAATAGATCGGGTGGTCAGGTGACTTAATAGATCGGGTGGTCAGGTGACTTAATGGATCGGGTGTTCAGGTGACTAAATAGATCGGGTGTTCAGGTGACTAAATAGATCGGGTGGTCAGGTGACTAAATAGATCGGGTGGTCAGGTGACTTAATGGATCGGGTGGTCAGGTGACTTAATGGATCCGGTGGTCAGTAGACTTAATGGATCGGGTGGTCAGGTGACTTAATGGATCGGGTGGTCAGGTGACTTAACGGATCGGGTGGTCAGGTGACTTAATGGATCGGGTGGTCAGGTGACTTAACGGATCGGGTGACTAAATAGATTGGGTGGTCAGGTGACTAAATAGATTGGGTGGTCAGGTGACTAAATAGATCGGGTGGTCAGGTGACTTAATGGATCGGGTGGTCAGGGGACTAAATAGATCGGGTGGTCAGGTGACTTAATGGATCGGGTGGTCAGGTGACTTAATGGATCGGGTGGTCAGGTGACTTAACGGATCGGGTGGTCAGGTGACTTAACGGATCGGGTGGTCTGGTGACTTTATGGATCGGGTGGTCATCTCCCGATGACTCTTGTTTACATCTGACATAGAGTAGTGCTGAGTCAACTTTGAAGAAGCCACACGGCAGTTCTGTATAAGAAGAGAACCCTCCTTGACATGTGAGCAGATCTCGGGGACGCTGTGTCACTGGGGCAGCATGAGAAGTACTGCCTGGGACAGCTCATGAAGGACGTGAAGGTGGACCTCTTTGTCACAGCCGCCAAGTATCATGCTTGCTATATCTTGTGTTACTTTTACATCCAGTTACAGAGGTCAGTTCCCCTGTGGGGGCAGTCGGGTAGCCTAGTGGTCAAAGTGTTCGCTTGTCACGTCGGAGACCCAGGTTCGAATCCCAACATGTGTACAATGTGTGAAGCCCATTTCTGGTGTCCCCTGCTGTGATATTACTTGCATATTGCTTAAAGCAGCGTAAAAAACAGTCGACCATTACCTTGTTGTTTTCCTGTACGATAAGGGAAGAGTAGTCTTGGTGTCCTCAGTGATGTAGGTGGAGTGAAGACTCATTCACTATCACTCACCCACTGAAATATCCATCAACTCACTCACCCACTGAAATATCCATCAACTCACTCACTCACTGAAATACCCACCCACCCACTCACTCACTCACTCACTCAGTGAAATATCCACCTACTCACTCACTCAGTGAAATGCCCATCCATCTACCCGACCATCCATCCATCCATCTATCCACTCACTCACTCACTCACTCACTCACTCACTCACCACTCACTCACCACTCACTCACTCCAGGTGAAGTCCTACAAGTGTCTACAGCGTGAGCCCGGCGGACATCCCTGCCAAGTGCGTCGAGTGGCCCAGATACTGTGGTGGCTGCTCAACTATTTCATCTGTCCTGTCATCAAGGTGGGCAGATGGATGGCCCAGTGGTTACAGTGTTTGCTTGTCCAGTTAAATAACTGGTTCTATTCCCACATAGGACTGCTACAATATATAACACCCACACGACATTTTCACCTGACCCATTGTATGTAGTTTCACTGAAAACATCAGTTTAGTATAGGTTGTTTCAACCTGAAGATTTGACGTGGATAGGTGCTCTGAAGTAGTGGGCGGCATGGGTTGCCCAGTCATCTACGGCGCTGTGATTCACTGTGCAGAGCTGCATCCCTTGGGCACACGAGAAACCTATGATTGTGGGTTCGAATCCCGGTTTGCCCCGATTATGTTTCTAGGTTTGTCAGCACCATATCTGTGCTCCTGGGTTTCACCGAAGTGGTTAACATCTGAGACCTGCATCACTTGGGGCTTTCCTCCCACATTAAGCTGACACGCCGTGATATAACTGGAATACTGTTAAAAGCGGTGTTAACCCCAACTCACTCACTCACTCACTCACTCACTCACTCACTCACTCACTCACTCACTCACTCACTCACTCACTCACACACTCACTCACTCTGTCCTTGTTAAAGTATATTTGGAATTGATGCATATTATGGAATAATTCATCCTGAGTGGGGACGGTCGGGAAGCCTGGTGGTTAAAGCGTTCACTCGTCACGCCAAAGACCCGGGTTCGATTTTCCACATGGGTACAATGTGTGAAGCCCATTTCCGGAGTCCCCCGCCATGATACTGCTGGAATATTGCTAAAAACAGCGTAAAACCATTCTCACTCACTCACTCACTCACTCACTCACTCACTCACTCACTCACTCACTCACTCACTAATCCGGAGTGTTGCCTGTTTTTCAGGCATTCTTCTATGTGACAAACACCAACATCTACAGGAACCGGGTTGTGTACTACAGGAAGAGTGTATGGATTCAGCTCCACACCAGGACTCTCACAGGTAACCATGGTAACCTTGTTTTCTGCTCTTGTAGTACACCAAGGTCATGTCATGTAGGTTCTGTCAAGTTGCAGTGTTCTAGGAGACTGTCATAACACCAAGGTTGTGTCATCACATAGGTTCTGGCAAGGTGACCACCTCCGTGGCCTAGTGGAAGAGCGTCCGCCCGGAGAGCAGAAGGTCCAGGGTTCGATCCCCGCCTGCTTCATACCTCAAGACGTTAAAAGATGGTACTTGTTAGTATCCTGTCTGGCGCTCGGCATTAAGGGGCTAAAACAAGGACTGGTCGGATCAGAGTCAGTATACTGTGTCTGAGTTGTGTCTGCGGCATGGTATCTCAGTGAGCTAGCACTATAAATCGGCATCAGTCCAGACTAGCACAAGCAGCCACACGTACGCATGCACGCACGCACCCACGCATGCACACATGCACGCACGCACGCACGCACACACACACACACACACGTGCATGAACGTCGCAATATAAGTGCAATAATCTTGGACGCGATGTTAAACCCAATTTCACCTCACGTTACCTTCTGACAAGGTTGCAGTGTTCTACGAGACTGTCCTGTTCTACGAGACTGTCCTGTTCTACTAGACTGTCCTGTTCTACTAGACTGTCCTGTTCTACTAGACTGTCCTGTTCTACTAGACTGTCCTGTTCTACGAGACTCCTGTTCTACTAGACTGTCCTGTTCTACTAGACTGTCCTGTTCTACTAGACTGTCCTGTTCTACTAGACTGCCCTGTTCTACTAGACTGTCCTGTTCTACGAGACTCCTGTTCTACTAGACTGTCCTGTTCTACTAGACTGTCCTGTTCTACTAGACTGCCCTGTTCTACTAGACTGTCCTGTTCTACGAGACTGTCCTGTTCTACTAGACTGTCCTGTTCTACTAGACTGTCCTGTTCTACTAGACTGTCCTGTTCTACTAGACTGTCGTGACACTAAGGCCCTTTCAGAAGCTGCTTTTTAGTATTTTTTGCTGTTGAATTGTTCAAGGCATCAGTGTACATAAGCTGTTGATGGATGTGATTCACATGAAGCAGGGATGTTTAATAGGACGGGTATGTAGTCTGTTTCATCAAGTATAGAAAGAAGGAAACACACATCCCATCTTTGATGTGAGCTGGGTGAGGAATGAAATCTAAAAGAAAAACAAGTTGAAAATGCTATACCTCTACCATTTCCACGATTACCTACTTTGAATTGTTTTCATGGCTAAGAACAGACTCGACAGGAAGGAAATTTTTTAGCTCTTTTCGACATTTGTGAAGTTTTAGGTTGATTGATCTGTTATTTGTGGTGAGACTCACTCTCTGTGTACTTGTCTGTTGACATTCAGCTCTGCGACAGAGGAAGATGATGTCCCCCGTTACACAGGTAAACGCTATCCTACTCCTCGTTAATGTACCCCCGTTACACAGGTAAACGACATCCTACACCTCGTTAATGTACCCCCGTTACACAGGTAAATGCTATCCTACTCCTCGTTAATGTACCCCCATTACACAGGTAAACGACATCCTACACCTCGTTAATGTACCCCCGTTACACAGGTAAACAACATCTCACGCCTCGTTAATGTACCCCCGTTACACAGGTAAACGACATCCCACGCCTCGTTAATGTACCCCAGTTACACAGGTAAACGACATCTCACGCCTCATGATGTACCCCGTTACACAGGTAAACGACATCCTACTCCTCGTTAATGTACCACAGGTAAACGACATCCTACTCCTCGTTAATGTACCCCCGTTACACAGGTAAACGACATCCCACGCCTCGTTAATGTACCCCGTTACACAGGTAAACGACATCTCACGCCTCGTTAATGTACCCCGTTACACAGGTAAACGACATCCTACTCCTCGTTAATGTACCCCCGTTACACAGGTAAACGACATCTCACGCCTCGTTAATGTACCCCCGTTACACAGGTAAACGACATCCTACTCCTCGTTAATGTACCCCCGTTACACAGGTAAACGACATCCTACGCCTCGTTAATGTACCCCGTTACACAGGTAAACGACATCCTACGCCTCGTTAATGTACCCCCGTTACACAGGTAAACGACATCTCACACCTCGTTAATGTACCCCCGTTACACAGGTAAACGACATCCTACTCCTCGTTAATGTACCCCCGTTACACAGGTAAACGACATCTCACGCCTCGTTAATGTACCCCCGTTACACAGGTAAACGACATCCTACTCCTCGTTAATGTACCCCCGTTACACAGGTAAATGACATCTCACGCCTCATTAATATCCCTCATAATACAGGTAAAAGACATCCTGCCCCTCATTAATATCCCTCATAATACAGGTAAAAGACATCCTGCCCCTCGTTAATATCCCTCATAATACAGGTAAAAGACATCGTGCTCCTCGTTAATATCCCTCATAATACAGGTAAAAGACATCCTGCCCCTCGTTAGTGTCCCTCATAATACAGGTAAAAGGCATCGTGCTCCTCGTTAATATCCCTCATAATACAGGTAAAAGACACTGTGTCCCTCGTTAATATCCCTCATAATACAGGTAAAAGACATCCTGCCCCTCGTTAGTGTCCCTCATAATACAGGTAAAAGGCATCGTGCTCCTCGTTAGTGTCCTCTATTACACAGGCAACATCCTGCCGTTCCCAGCTCCTCGTTTACATGCATGTATAGAACACTGATTAAGATTTGTCTTCAGCAACCCGATCAACCCATGCTTGTTGAATACAACAGCTAACGGGATCAGGCGGTTTACAACAAGTAAAGAAACATTTGTTTTGCGCAAAGATCACTTTCTTAGACCTGGGACTAGAATTGGTCGCCAGCATTATATTCTGTTCGTAAGATGCGTCTGGTTTTGGGTGATTCGGGTGGTTTTGGAAGACTGCTTGTCATTGTGTCCCATGGCTTGCATCGTCTGGTCCAGACTCGGCTCTTTAAAGGCTGGGATCACATGGCTGCAGTATTGCTGAGTGGCGTTAAGCAGCAAGCAAACTTTGTACGATGTTGCTCTAGGCTCTTTACTGATTTCTAGAGGCACAACATCAGCTCCCAAATTTCCAGAAATTATTTTCCACATTTCACATGCCTAGAATTGCCCAAATAAATATTTGTTATTTCCCTTGATCGCTGTAATAAGAATAGCAACTCAGGAAACGTGAAATTATTCCATAAGATAAATATATGAACGACATGTATATCTGAGTGTTAGATAAACTCTGCACTCACTCACTCACTCTGATACAGACGAAGGTGGAGCACCTACTTGATAGCGGCCATGCCCTAGGGATCTCCTACCTGCGCTTCCTGCCTAAATTGACGTCACTGAGACCTGTCGTCAACATGGGCAGGAAACCTGAGCCGTGGACCAAGAAGGTGAGAACTGGCAAAACGAGGGTTACGAATAGCCAGGTGTCACATGACTTCATCTACCATCTTCCGGAGGCAAGGGAGTTAACTGACTGCAAAAGTCCAGTTTCCACTCATGCCGAACTAGGTCGGAATTTCTTGGTTCGATTGTAGTGTCACCAGTGGCTATTACGAGTTATGTCCCTTGTATGTCCCTCCTATGGACCAATCAGATTCCACCTCTCGTATCACTTGCATTTGCTTCAAATAAAATGGCTGCGCCCAGTGAAGATGATCTGATGGATAATCAAGATATATGTTGTAATAAAACGGGTCTTACTCGCGAAATGCATCAAATCACATCATTTCCTTGTTTGAATTTATGAAAATGTCTGTTCACGCTAATCCTGCAATCGACCAAAATCTGGTAGTTCAAAAACCAGATGTCCAATTTGTTAAGCGATGTTGATTAGACTATGCATAGACTCGTTAGTCCAGCCAAAATATAACTCCATAATACTAGCCTAGTTCGGCAAGGGTGGAAACTGGACTTATACAGTCAGTGAACTCCCTTGCCTCAGGAAGATGCCATCGACGGACAATTGGAGCAGTCACGATGCCATCTGGCGCACTCATCTGTTCAGTAAGCTATAAGACCAGGATTGGTAGGGAACGAGCCAACTGAAAATGGCTCCAGGTGTAAGACATTGTTTTCACAAGTACAAATGAATGACAATATTTGATCATTCGTCGGGGGATTTTATGACATAAAAGTGTGGGAGGGAATACTGTAATGATAACGTGGATCCTAGTAAGGAACTGGGAAGGCAGGGGCATGGCCACTGACGCCATGTGGGTGAGTCAGCTTTTATTTCATATCCAGCTGGTGAAAGTGGCTTGGGTGGAAAGTTCAAACCACTTCATCCTCATCTCTCGACATTTTATGTGTGGAGAATAAATGCATCAACCACTGGTCCCAACTTGATAACCAACAGGCCACTAAAAGCACCACATTCAGGAAGCAGTAGTGGCTGGTATCCCAAAGTGGATTCCAGATATTTCAAGATAAATGTGTATAATAATGTTCTTATTTCAGAAACTGTCCATCAACTCCCAACTACGGACCTGTTTGAGTATCCTTCAGTATCACGTGGTCAGTACACAAGTATTTCTCTGAGTCTGTTAATTATTTGCTGTGCAGAAGGTAGGAAGACACGAGGCTGTTTGTTTCTTGTGACATTTGGAACACAGGATCCGAATACAAAGGGATAAAAAAAACTACTTTTGCAATTTGAAATTCAGAGTTAAACCAGAAATCGGTTCATCTCAATTGCGAAATCAGTAAATGGCCATGATCAAAGAATATTTGACACATTATGAAACACACAGTTCTAGGTGTACAATCAACACAGGGTCAAGTATGTGGCAGCAGAAGTAAGTATAGACCCTAGAATATGTCCGTGCCCTCACAGATGTCCAGAATGTGTCACTCTTAAATGTCTTGAAAGAGGCCTGTGCTCCGTTCTTGAATCTGGAATGGTGTTGAAAGCTGGCTGGAAATGTTTTCAGATAAATTTCCTTGCCCTTGGCAAGTAGAAAAAACGCAAGTCCAATCATAAAAGGCCTTAAACTGACCGCATGTCCCAGCCTTCTAGAAACTGTCCCATTCTGTAATTTCTCGAATGATCAAGTGTGTTGTTCGTCAACAACAAACAAGGGAGGTAACTCAAAATCACACTCACTCTTACAGTCTGACCACTGCAGCACATTTTATGAGGGTTTCAGTCATCTGCTGCTACTCAGACTTAAACATTCTCTGCTGCCATATGACACTCATGAAGAAGTAATATTTCTCAAATCCTGTGACACTGATCACAGGTATGTACATTTGTAACAATGTGTCAGACTATGCTTGTCGTAAGAGGCGACCAACGAGATCGGGTGGTCAGGCTCACTGACTTGGTTGACGCATGTCTTCGAATCCCAATTCTATGAATCGATGCTCATGATGTCAATCACTGGATTGTCTGGTCCAGACTCAATTATTTACAGAATGCCGTCATATAGCTGGAATATTGCTGAGTGCAGCCTTAAACAACAACAGACAAACAAACAACGTGTCAGTGGCACAAATAATATTGTCAGTATTTGTGCAGAAATATTTGAATATCAATGCTGGAAGCAACTTTTGTTGTATGGCTGTCTTTGTTGGCATCTGGGGCGGTCGGGTAGCCTAGTGGTTAAAGCATTTGCTCGTCACGCCAAAAACCTGGGTTTGATTCTGTACATGAGTACAATGTGTGAAGACCATTTCTGGTGTCCCCTGCCGTGATATTGCTGAAATATTGCTAAAAGCAGCATAAAACCACACTCACTCACTCACTCACTCACTCACTCACTCACTCACTCACTCACTCACTCACTCACTCACTTTGATGGCATCTTGAACTGTGGACTACCTATCCAGGTGAGCTACAGTGCCGTACAGTGTTTTCTGTTTGATTCAGCACAGAAGACCGGAACTGCTGCAGAGCTCCAAGTTTGGTTTCCAAGACATCTATGAGGCATTCAGGGAGTTTGTTGTAAAGAGGCGGGCACGGCAGGACACGCGGTAGGTGATGTTGCTGCCAGTCCTGGCTCGACTGGACTGTATGTTTAAGCTGGTTTCACGATCAGCCTGCTCTAAGAATATGGAAAATGGAAGAAAAACAGGAAAAGCACACTTTTGTTATTCCAACTTCCAAATTCACCCAAAATACAGAGCTATAAAACAGCAAACAAAAAAACTTTACTGAGGTCATCTAGGTTTTTTCACATAGATAATTTTCAAATCTTTATACTTTTTACTCACTTTATTGAAAATGTTAGTGTGTATTGAACATTAAAAAATCATACTGGCAGACATCCTTCAATATGTTCTTGGTGCTGGTGCCTGAAAACCATGATTTGGCTGATTTAGTTGTTGGAGGTCTCTCTGATGTTCCGGAGAGTGGAAGGTCTGGGGTTCGATCCCTGGCCAGTCATACCAAAAGACGTTAAAAGATGGTACTTGTTGTTACCCTGTCTGGCTCTCGGCATTAAGGGGCTAAAACAAGGACTGGTCGGCTCGGAGTCAGTATACTGTGTCTGAGTGGGGTATTCATGTGAAACTGCTGCATAGCATCTCACTGGGCTTGCACTATAATATCCGCATTAAATCACGTTGCTGTATAAGTGCAGAAATCTGGATGCGATGTTAAACCCCATTTCACCTCAACTCGCTTTAACTGTCTTGTTACAGGCCACATTGTTCCACAGGCCAGCATGTTGGTTACAGAATACTGTCTGTGGCTGACATCTGTAACGTGTTACTGACGGATGTCTTGTTACAGACCAGCATGTTGGTTACAGAATACTGTCTGTGGCTGACATCTGTAACGTGTTACTGACGGATGTCTTGTTACAGACCACATTGTACCACAGACCAGCATGTTGGTTACAGAATACTGTCTGTGGCTGACATCTGTAACGTGTTACTGACTGATGTCTTGTTACAGACCAGCATGTTGGTTACAGAATACTGTCTGTGGCTGACATCTGTAACGTGTTACTGACTGATGTCTTGTTACAGACCAGCATGTTGGTTACAGAATACTGTCTGTGGCTGACATCTGTAACGTGTTACTGACTGATGTCTTGTTACAGGCCAGCATGTTGGTTACAGAATACTGTCTGTGGCTGACATCTGTAACGTGTTACTGACTGATGTCTTGTTACAGACCAGCATGTTGGTTACAGAATACTGTCTGTGGCTGACATCTGTAACGTGTTACTGACTGATGTCTTGTTACAGACCAGCATGTTGGTTACAGAATACTGTCTGTGGCTGACATCTGTAACATGTTACTGACGGATGTCTTGTTACAGACCAGTATGTTGGTTACAGAATACTGTCTGTGGCTGACATCTGTAACATGTTACTGACGGATGTCTTGTTACAGACCAGCATGTTGGTTACAGAATACTGTCTGTGGCTGACATCTGTAACGTGTTACTGACTGATGTCTTGTTACAGGCCAGCATGTTGGTTACAGAATACTGTCTGTGGCTGACATCTGTAACGTGTTACTGACTGATGTCTTGTTACAGGCCAGCATGTTGGTTACAGAATACTGTCTGTGGCTGACATCTGTAACGTGTTACTGACGGATGTCTTGTTACAGACCACATTGTACCACAGACCAGCATGTTGGTTACAGAATACTGTCTGTGGCTGACATCTGTAACGTGTTACTGACTGATGTCTTGTTACAGACCAGCATGTTGGTTACAGAATACTGTCTGTGGCTGACATCTGTAACGTGTTACTGACTGATGTCTTGTTACAGGCCAGCATGTTGGTTACAGAATACTGTCTGTGGCTGACATCTGTAACGTGTTACTGACTGATGTCTTGTTACAGGCCAGCATGTTGGTTACAGAATACTGTCTGTGGCTGACATCTGTAACGTGTTACTGACTGATGTCTTGTTACAGACCAGCATGTTGGTTACAGAATACTGTCTGTGCCTGACATCTGTAACGTGTTACTGACTGATGTCTTGTTACAGGCCACATTGTTCCACAGACCAGCATGTTGGTTACAGAATACTGTCTGTGCCTGACATCTGTAACGTGTTACTGACTGATGTCTTGTTACAGACCAGCATGTTGGTTACAGAATACTGTCTGTGGCTGACATCTGTAACGTGTTACTGACTGATGTCTTGTTACAGACCAGTATGTTGGTTACAGAATACTGTCTGTGCCTGACATCTGTAACGTGGTACTGACTGATGTCTTGTTACAGACCAGTATGTTGGTTACAGAATACTGCCTGTGGCTGACATCTGTAACGTGTTACTGACTGATGTCTTGTTACAGGCCAGTATGTTGGTTACAGAATACTGTCTGTGGCTGACATCTGTAACGTGTTACTGACTGATGTCTTGTTACAGACCAGCATGTTGGTTACAGAATACTGTCTGTGGCTGACATCTGTAACGTGTTACTGACTGATGTCTTGTTACAGACCAGTATGTTGGTTACAGAATACTGTCTGTGGCTGACATCTGTAACGTGTTACTGACTGATGTCTTGTTACAAACCACATTGTTCCACAGACCAGCATGTTGGTTACAGAATACTGTCTGTGGCTGACATCTGTAACGTGTTACTGACTGATGTCTTGTTACAGACCAGCATGTTGGTTACAGAATACTGTCTGTGCCTGACATCTGTAACGTGTTACTGACTGATGTCTTGTTACAGACCAGCATGTTGGTTACAGAATACTGTCTGTGGCTGACATCTGTAACGTGTTACTGACTGATGTCTTGTTACAGACCAGCCTGTTGGTTACAGAATACTGTCTGTGGCTGACATCTGTAACGTGTTACTGACTGATGTCTTGTTACAGGCCACATTTTTCCACAGGCCAGCATGTTGGTTACAGAATACTGTCTGTGCCTGACATCTGCTATTTCTTGTTACAGGCCTCTCTACTTCGTGAAGACTGACATCAACAAGTGCTTTGACACTATAGTACAAGAGAAACTATACTTCATTGTCAAGGCTATCTTAGAGGTATGGTACTGTATTTGGAGACTTGTTACAGGTGAAGACTAATCACGGGTGATGTGTTTTTGTTTGTACCAAACTCAGCAATATTCCAGGTATATTATGGCGGTCTGTAAATAGTCAGATCTTGACCAGACAATCCAGTGATTGACATCATGAGAATCTATCTAAAAAATTGAGATACGATGACATTCAACAATTAATCCTGTTCTGTTAATCACCTCTTACGACAAGAATGGTTTCAGAAGACCATTTCTTACCCTGATCTTCACCTGATGAGCCCAGGTTCTAGTGGAGGTATGGATAGCCAAAGCCATCTTAATCACCTCGTTTCACTGTGCATGTGGAGTTGCTTCCCTTAGCCGTGTCAGAATCCAATTAACAACGCGTGTGGTCTGATGTTGATTAATAAATAATTTGCATACTCGTATATGCAAGGGGCTGACGTATGGTTCCTGTAGGAAGTGACAACTTGGAGATGATGGCTTGCGGTATATACAGTTTTACTTTATACATGTAGATATATACATACAAAAGACACTATGTGCCAGGTCAGCACATAGTGGTAGTTGTTGTTGTCTAGGTGCCCTGGAGCACCTAGCCTAACCCTAGCTAGGCTAAGGGTAAGACCTTTCTTTCTCCTCCCAGTCTCTCTCGACCAAGGCTTATATAGCCAAGGTCACCTGACATTTAGTAAGTAATAAATATAAATGTAAACAGTAATTCATCAGCAGGATGGCAGACGGTCAGGTACACAAAAATGGGGATTAACAAATAGGATTAGCATCTAATAAATAACAGCAATTAAGTGTTTCAAGGCATATAGATGTCATGGCTCCAGAGTAATGAGCCTTTGCAATCAAATGTTCTTCAGACAATGGGTGTTGTAAATCAGTTGCTATGACACTATAATCATGGGTTCATGTTGTAGAATAGCCCTGATTATGGTTCTTGTTATGTAGGCACAATGTCAATGCTCGGGGTTTCACCAAAGTGGTTTCACCAAAGTGGTTTCACCATGTGATCTGGCTGAAAGGATGGGACTAAATACTGTTGAAAGCATCTTACAACCCTGCCCACTCACTCACTCACTCACAGACCATATTTTCTATGAAGTTTAAATTAAGGAAACCCGGCAATGAAGGTGCAAACTGTGCTATTGAGTGACTTTACTTTTTACAGTGGACAATTACAGTGGACTGGTGGTCAGGAGTGATGTTATGAGTCGTAACACCCTGATTGTGTGTGACTTTTTTCATGATATCATCCACTGGTTTCTCCAGCACAGATTTTGGGGCACGGGTGGCCCAGTCGTCTAAGGCGCCGCGATTCGCTGTGCAGAGTTGTGTCCCTTGGGCACGCCAGAAACCTATGATTGTGTGTTCGAATCCCGGTTCGCCCCGATTATGTTTCTAGGTTTGTCTGCACCATACCCGTGCTCGTGGGTTTCACCGAAGTGGTTAACGTCTGAGACCTGCATCACTTCGGGCTTTCCTCCCACATTAAGCTGACACGCCGCAATATAACTGGAATACTGTTAAAAGCGGCGTTAAACCCAACTCACTCACTCACTCACTCACTCACTCACTCACTCACTCACTCACTCACTCCAGCACAGATTTAATTATTCAAATGTTGCTGTGCATTAAAGGAACAAACAAAAAAATAATTAAACAAGCAGACTCTCAATTTGTTGTTTACTGTGGTATTTAATTCCTTTGTTCCCTCGTGTAATACCCAGTCCGAAGATGAATACATAACGCGAAGATGGGCAAGTGTTTTCCTGGCCGGGGACCGACTCAGACGTACCTACCATCGGGAGACCTTCACCCTCGGGGAATACGAACCGGACTTCATCCGGTACATGCGGAGTCGCTCCGAGCAGCTGACCGACTGTCTCCTGGTGGACCAGGTGAGTCTTGGGAAGCCCCCTGAGGTTCCGGGTTTCAAAAGGTCCCCAGCAACCTGTGCTGGTCATAAGACTAGGCCGAATAGAATTTTCTTTTTCACATTTACTACATATAATTTTTTCTCAGAATGTGACTTGTTTAATAAGGAAAGAGACATTTTACTTAGAAACCTAAGCTGTATAGTCGAAGATACACCAGCTAATCTCAATTTGTTATTCAATGGAATTGGGGACTTACCTGAACAAGATAACATAACAGTTTTCAATTATGCACAGTGTTATATACGTAACACAAAGACATTTATGTAAACTGTATTGTTCCCACTGTTCACTTATCTTTCCTATTCTTTTTTTTTCTGGTCCATTCATGTTTAGCTCAAGCTGTAAATCAATTCTGGGAGAAGTGTTGGACTTGGAGAACTTGTACCCAATCCCATTCCCCTTTTTTAAATAAAATATGTTTAAATCAATAGATTTTTTTCTACAAACCTATCAACTGTTGGGCTTGTATCAAACAGATGCTGTATTTGTGTTGTCTATGGAATAGAATGCGCATCTGATCAGCATTGGTTTGTAGGGACGTCGTTGGCCAAGTGTCTCTGGCACCGGATTCTCTGTTCACCCTGATTGTGTTTGTCAGTGCCATACCCATGCCTGTGGGTTTTACCAGACTGAGAAACGTCTCAGACATTCTTCCTCCCACATGAGGCAGACATGCCATGATATGATTGAAATACAATCAAACCCAACTCACTCACTCACTCACTCTCTCACTTCCTCCCAGGTGATGCACCCACACCTCACAGCCGACCACCTAGTGTCTGTGGTGAAGAGCCATCTCTTTAACAACATAGTCAAGGTACGTCTCATACTCAACTCATAGGTAGTCAAGGTAGGTCTCATACTCAACTCATACGTAGTCAAGGTACGTCTCATACTCAACTCATACGTAGTCTAGGTAGGTCTCATACTCAACTCATACGTAGTCAAGGTAGGTCTCATACTCAACTCATACGTAGTCTAGGTACGTCTCATACTCAACTCATACGTAGTCTAGGTACGTCTCATACTCAACTCATACGTAGTCAAGGTACGTCTCATACTCAACTCATACGTAGTCTAGGTACGTCTCATACTCAACTCATACGTAGTCAAGGTACGTCTCATACTCAACCCATATGTAGTCTAGGTAGGTCTCATACTCAACTCATACGTAGTCAAGGTACGTCTCATACTCAACTCATACGTAGTCAAGGTACGTTTCCTTTTCAACTCATACGTAGTCAAGGTACGTTTCATGTTCAACTCATACGTAGTCAAGGTATGTTTCATGTTCAACTCATACGTAGTCTAGGTACGTCTCATACTCAACTCATACGTAGTCAAGGTACGTTTCATGTTCAGCTCATACGTCGTCTAGGTACGTCTCATACTCAACTCATACGTAGTCTTGGTAGGTCTCTTCTTTGTGTGTCATTTAGAAGTTGATATGATGAATGAAGACACACAACATACACGCGATCAAGGTAGGTTTCTTACACAATTTGGTTATGAGAGGTCTGATGCCAAGTGGTGTTTTAGTACCGTTTAGTTAGTTTGTTTGTTTGTTTGTTTGAATGGAGGTATAATACCCTGGATAATGGAGGATGTCTAAAAGCCACTTTTAAGTTAGGTCCCATACACGACGTACACTTGGTCAAGGTAGGTCTCGTACGATGTACAAGTTGTCAAGGTAGGTCTCGTACACTACGTACATGTTGTCAAGGTAGGTCTCGTACTCTACGCACATGTTGTCAAGGTAGGTCTCGTACATGCCGTTCATGTCAAGGTAGGTCTCCTACACGACTTACATGTAGACAAGATAGGTCTCATATACGATCTACAAGTTGTCAAGGAAGGTCTCGTACACCACATACATAATGCTGGATAATCATTGAAGTTTTAACTCCTATTTTGCTGCAGATTGGCCGGGGGTACTTTCAGCAGACGGTGGGGATCGGGCAGGGGTCTGTCCTGTCCACCATGTTGTGCAGCTTGTACACCGCACACCTGGAGCAGCTCACGCTTGGCGCCGCTCAGGAGGACGAGCTGCGGATGCGCCTCGTGGATGACAATCTCTACATCACCCCCCACAGGGACAAGGCTGTGCACTTCCTCAATATTGCTCTACAGGGTAAGAATACACCATGCTTCAGTACTGCTCTACAGGGTAAGAATACACCATGCTTCAATACTGCTCTACAGGGTGAGCATGCATCTCACCATGCTTCAGTACTGCTCTACAGGGTAAGCATACATCGCACCATGCTTCAGTACTGCGCTACAGGGTAAGCAGACATCGCACCATGCTTCAGTACTGCTCTACAGGGTAAGCATACATCGCACCATGCTTCAGTACTGCTCTACAGGGTAAGTAGACAATGCTTCAGTACTGCTCTACAGGGTAAGCATACATGCCACCATGCTTCAGTACTCCTCTACAGGGTAAGCATACATTGCACCATGCTTCAATACTGCTCTACAGGGTAAGCATACATCGCACCATGCTTCAATACTGCTCTACAGGGTAAGCATACATCACACCATGCTTCAATACTGCTCTACAGGGTAAGCATACATCACACCATGCTTCAATACTGCTCTACAGGGTAAGTAGACAATGCTTCAGTACTGCTCTACAGGGTAAGCAGACATCACACCATGCTTCAGTACTGCTCTACAGGGTGAGTAGACAATGCTTCAGTACTGCTCTACAGGGTAAGCAGACATCACATCATGCTTCAGTACTGCTCTACAGGGTAAGTAGACAATGCTTCAGTACTGCTCTACAGGGTAAGTAGACATCACACCATGCTTCAAAACTGCTCGACAGGGTAAGTAGACAATGCTTCAGTACTGCTCTACAGGGTAAGTAGACAATGCTTCACTACTGCTCGACAGGGTAAGTAGACAATGCTTCAGTACTGCTCTACAGGGTAAGTAGACAATGCTTCAATACTGCTCGACAGGGTAAGTAGACAATGCTTCAGTACTGCTCTACAGGGTAAGTAGACAATGCTTCAGTACTGCTCGACAGGGTAAGTAGACAATGCTTCAGTACTGCTCTACAGGGTGAGCAGACATCACACCATGCTTCAATACTGCTCTACAGGGTAAGTAGACAATGCTTCAGTACTGCTCTACAGGGTGAGCAGACATCACACCATGCTTCAGTACTGCTCTACAGGGTAAGCAGTCATCACACCAGGGACAAGACTGTCCAGCTTCTTGGATATTTAAGTTTGCTGCTTTTCCTTTCAGGCAACAAGGAGTACAACTTTACATCCAACATGGACAAGGTCCTTCTCAACTTTGAGGTGTTCCATCCTGAGCAAGGTCTAGTTCCTTCTGTAGACAGTGAGGGTAGGTGGCCTATTGAACATAGAGATGTTCCATCCTGAGCAAGGCCTAGTTTCTTCTGTAGACAGTGAGGGTAGATGGCCTATTGGACATTGAGATGCTCCATCCTGAGCGAGGTCTTGTTCCTTCTGTAGACAGTGAGGATAGATGGCCTATTGAACATAGAGGTGTTCCATCCTGAGCAAGGCCTAGTTCCTTCTGTAGACAGTGAGGGTAGGTGGCCTATTGAACATAGAGGTGTTCCATCCTGAGCAAGGCCTAGTTCCTTCTGTAGACAGTGAGGGTAGATGGCCTATTGAACATAGAGGTGTTCCATCCTGAGCAAGGTCTTGTTCCTTATGTAGACAGTGAGGGTAGGTGGCCTATTGAACATAGAGGTGTTCCATCCTGAGCAAGGTCTTGTTCCTTCTGTAGACAGTGAGGGTAGGTGGCCTATTGAACATAGAGGTGTTCCATCCTGAGCAAGGTCTAGTTCCTTCTGTAGACAGTGAGGGTAGGTGGCCTACTAAACATTGAGGTGTTCCATCCTGAGCAAGATCTTGTTCCTTCTGTAGACAGTGAGGGTAGGTGACCTATTGAACATTGAGATGCTCCATCCTGAGCAAGGCCTAGTTCCTTCTGTAGACAGTGAGGGTAGGTGGCCTATTGAACATAGAGACGCTCCATCCTGAGCAAGGTCTAGTTCCTTCTGTAGACAGTGAGGGTAGGTGGCCTATTGAACATATAGGTGTTCCATCCTGAGCAAGGTCTTGTTCCTTCTGTAGACAGTGAGGGTAGGTGGCCTATTGAACATAGAGACGCTCCATCCTGAGCAAGGTCTTGTTCCTTCTGTAGACAGTGAGGGTAGGTGGCCTATTGAACATAGAGACGCTCCATCCTGAGCAAGGCCTAGTTCCTTCTGTAGACAGTGAGGGTAGGTGGCCTATTGAACATAGAGACGCTCCATCCTGAGCAAGGTATAGTTCCTTCTGTAGACAGTGAGGGTAGGTGGTCTATTGAACATAGAGATGCTCCATCCTGAGCAAGGTCTAGTTCCTTCTGTAGACAGTGAGGGTAGGTGGTCTACTAAACATTGAGGTGTTCCATCCTGAGAGAATAAGGCCGCCCAAATATAGAATTGTTTTCCTATCTGTTTTTTACACTTTCATGCTAAAGATTGCTCCAGTTTACAACATTAGGAGTAAGTAATCACTTCTGAATGCTATGTACATGCTACACTTGTGTTTCTTACTTCAAATTATTTGCCCTTTGGTCATCGTTTTGAAATATTTGTTTTCTGAACCGCGTTAGTTGATTTTCATCCTATCTAAAGTATGTAGAAGAGGTGTATCACAAAGCAGACAACAATAACAGTTTGAGAGACTTGTCTGCAGAGTTCCCGTGGTGTGGGATGCTGTTCAACACGCACAGCCTGGAGGTGATGGTGGACTACGACAGATACGCTGGGCAAGGTGGGCGCTCACCAATACTCAGTCTCAAGCTGTTTATGTGAAGATTGTCTGATTTGTACTGTTGCTCCCCCGTGGGTATCCTGGCATGGAATGCTTCCGAAATAACTTATGCTTGTCTTAGGAGGCAACTAAGTGTGCCAGAACGTGTGAAGCCCTTTTCTGGTGTCCCCAGACAGACATTTGTAAAGAAATGTTAAACATAAAGCACTCACTCACTCACTCACTCAAACACTCACTCAAACACTCACTTAAACACTCACTCAAACACTGAATCAAACACTCACTCAAACACACACTCAAACACTCACTCAAACACTCACTCACTCACTCACTCAAACACTCACTCAAACACTCACTCACTCACTCACTCAAACACTCACTCACTCACTCACTCAAACACTCACTCAAACACTCACTCACTCACTCACTCACTCACTCACCCACCCACTTACCCACCCACTTACTCACTCATTCATCCAATCAACCAACCACCCATGGTGGCCTAGTTGTCTAGGGTGCCACAATTCAATGTACAGAGTTGCATCCCTTAGGGCTGCCAGTAACCTAAGATCATGAGTTCCAATCCCAGATTCGTCTTGGATGTTTTCTGGTCTGTCTGCACCACACCCATGATTGTGGGTTTCACCAAAGTGGTGGACGTCTTAGACCTGCCTCACTTCAGGCTTCTATCTCCCACATTAAGCTGACCAAGCTGTGAAGGAACTGGAATACCATTCAAAGCAGATTCGAATCCAACTCACTCACTCAATTATATTTTCCAGCCATCCGAGACACAATCACGATAGAATTCTCTACTCAACCCGGTGTCTCCATGAAGAACAAGCTGCTTATGTGAGGACGTCAGCAAACAGTAACATTGAATAAAATAAATGAAAAGCTGGAAAATAAATAATAATAATAATAATAATAGGCCATATATGTTCATATTTCCACACAAGGGCATGCTCTAAGTGCTACTATTACCCATCACTGGATCAGTGTGCACTCAACAGTAAATTCTGACCACTAAAGGGGCGTCGGGTAGCCTAGTGGTTAAAGCGTTCACTCATCACGCCCAAGACCCGGGTTCGATTCCCAACATGGGTACAATGTGTGTAGCCAATTTCTGGTGTCCCCCACTGTGATATTGCTGGAATATTGCTTAAATGGGCGTAAAACCATACTCACTCTCTCACTCAGACCACTGATATTCTTGGGGAGCAAGGATATATGTTTGGGTGTTTGTCTGAATGCCCCTAGCAGGCAAATTGGGGAAAATTTGTTCAAAATCTTGGATTCTAAATTGAGAGGTAGATAAACATTGAATTTAATGCTATAATGTTGATCTAAACATTGAAGCCACTTATTCTATAGACCTGTGAAGATCCAGGTGAAGAAATAATCTTCAGCAACACATGCTAGCCGTAAGTTTGTTTGTTGTTGTTGTTTAATGCCGCACTCATCAATATTCCAGTTATATGACGGCGGTCTGTAAATAATTGAGTCTTGATCAGACAACCCAGTGACAGATATCATGAGCACCGATCCACGCAAGTGGGATACAAAGACATGCATCAACTAAGTCAGCGAGCCTGACCAACTCATCCTGTTAGTCGCCTCTTACGACAAGCATAGTCGCCTTTTACAGCAAGCAGGGGTTGCTGAAGACCTATTCTACCCTGGCTCTTCACGGGTCTAATTCCAGCTATATGACGACAGTCTGTAAATAATCATTTGTGAACCATACAATCCAGTAATTGGTTGCTGAAGACCTCTACCCTGGGTCTTCAAGGGGTCTGCTTGCAGTAAGAGGCAATTATGCTTGTCGAAAGGGAGGTCTAACGGGATAAGGTGGTCTTAGTTGACTAAGTTGATGTATGTCATCATATCCCAATTGTGTAGATAAAAACTCATTATGTCATGCTGCTGGAATATTGTGCAGCGTTAAACAACAAACAAACAAACACTTCTTCTATAGTGGTCCTGTTATCAGTGAAATGCAAGTCACCTCTACACAGCCTAACATTATGTAATTGGTTCAGCTGTGAGGAGGCCGAGATCTGATAAATACTGGAAATATTATCCAGGTGTTTACCTTGACTGTAATATAGCTGGAATACCACAACAGCAAGTACACAAAGCGTATTACATCAGAACATGAGAAGCACTGACCATGGGTCTGTTTGTTGTCAGGTTCTTGAGGTACAAATGTCACGGGATGTACATGGACCCACAGGTGAGTGTCTGCGTGCTCTGTGTCTGTGTCTGCATGCTCTGTGTCTGTGTCTGTGTCTGCATGCTCTGTGTCTGTGTCTGTGTCTGTGTCTGCATGCTCTGTGTCTGTGTCTGTGTCTGCATGCTCTGTGTCTGTGTCTGTGTCTGCATGCTCTGTGTCTGTGTCTGTGTCTGTGTCTGCATGCTCTGTGTCTGTGTCTGTGTCTGCATGCTCTGTGTCTGTGTCTGTGTCTGCACGCTCTGTGTCTGTGTCTGTGTCTGCATGCTCTGTGTCTGTGTCTGTGTCTGCACGCTCTGTGTCTGCACGCTCTGTGTCTGTGTCTGTGTCTGCACGCTCTGTGTCTGCATGCTCTGTGTCTGTGTCTGCATGCTCTGTGTCTGTGTCTGTGTCTGTGTCTGCATGCTCTGTGTCTGTGTCTGTGTCTGTGTCTGCATGCTCTGTGTCTGTGTCTGTGTCTGCATGCTCTGTGTCTGTGTCTGTGTCTGCATGCTCTGTGTCTGTGTCTGTGTCTGCATGCTCTGTGTCTGTGTCTGTGTCTGCACGCTCTGTGTCTGCACGCTCTGTGTCTGTGTGCTCTGTGTCTGTGTGCTCTGTGTCTGTGTCTGCATGCTCTGTGTCTGTGTCTGTGTCTGCACGCTCTGTGTCTGCGTGCTGTGTCTGCATGCTCTGTGTCTGTGTCTGTGTCTGCATGCTCTGTGTCTGTGTCTGTGTCTGCATGCTCTGTGTCTGTGTCTGTGTCTGTGTCTGCATGCTCTGTGTCTGTGTCTGTGTCTGCATGCTCTGTGTCTGTGTCTGTGTCTGCACGCTCTGTGTCTGCATGCTCTGTGTCTGTGTCTGTGTCTGCATGCTCTGTGTCTGTGTCTGTGTCTGCACGCTCTGTGTCTGCATGCTCTGTGTCTGTGTCTGTGTCTGCACGCTCTGTGTCTGCACGCTCTGTGTCTGTGTCTGTGTCTGCACGCTCTGTGTCTGCATGCTCTGTGTCTGTGTCTGTGTCTGCACGCTCTGTGTCTGCATGCTCTGTGTCTGTGTCTGTGTCTGCACGCTCTGTGTCTGCATGCTCTGTGTCTGTGTCTGTGTCTGCATGCTCTGTGTCTGCACGCTCTGTGTCTGCATGCTCTGTGTCTGTGTCTGTGTCTGCATGCTCTGTGTCTGTGTCTGTGTCTGCACGCTCTGTGTCTGCATGCTCTGTGTCTGTGTCTGTGTCTGCACGCTCTGTGTCTGTGTCTGTGTCTGCACGCTCTGTGTCTGTGTCTGTGTCTGTGTCTGCACGCTCTGTGTCTGCATGCTCTGTGTCTGTGTCTGTGTCTGTGTCTGCATGCTCTGTGTCTGCACGCTCTGTGTCTGCGTGCTATGTGTCTGTGTGCTCTGTGTCTGTGTGCTCTGTGTCTGTGTGTCTGCGTGCTCTGTGTCTGTGTGCTCTGTGTCTGTGTGTCTGCGTGCTCTGTGTCTGTGTGCTCTGTGTCTGTGTGTCTGCGTGCTCTGTGTCTGTGTCTGTGTCTGCACGCTCTGTGTCTGTGTGTCTGCGTGCTCTGTGTCTGTGTCTGTGTCTGCATGCTCTGTGTCTGTGTGCTCTGTGTCTGTGTGTCTGCATGCTCTGTGTCTGTGTCTGTGTCTGCACGCTCTGTGTCTGCATGCTCTGTGTCTGCGTGCTCTGTCTGTGTGCTATGTGTCTGTGTGCTCTGTGTCTGCGTGCTCTGTCTGTGTGCTATGTGTCTGCGTGCTCTGTGTCTTCATGCTGTGTCTGCGTGCTTTGTGTTTGCATGCTCTGTGTCTGTGTCTGCGTGCTCTGTGTCTGCGTGCTCTGTGTGTGCGTGCTCTGTGTCTGCGTGCTCTGTGTCTGCGTGCTCTGTGTCTGTGTGCTATGTGTCTGCGTGCTCTGTCTGTGTGCTAGGTGTCTGTGTGCTATGTGTCTGCGTGCTCTGTCTGTGTGCTCTGTGTCTGCGTGCTCTGTCTGCGTGCTTTGTGTTTGCATGCTCTGTGTCTGCGTGCTATGTGTCTGCGTGCTCTTTGTCTGTGTGCTCTGTGTCTGCATGCTCTGTGTCTGCGTGCTCTGTGTCTGTGTCCTATGTGTCTGCGTGCTCTGTCTGTGTGCTATGTGTCTGTGTGCTATGTGTCTATGTGCTCTGTCTGTGTGCTCTGTGTCTGCGTGCTCTGTGTCTTCATGCTCTGTGTCTGTGTGCTATGTGTCTATGTGCTCTGTCTGCGTGCTTTGTGTTTGCATGCTCTGTGTCTGCGTGCTCTGTGTCTGTGTGCTCTGTGTCTGCATGCTCTGTGTGCTCTGTGTCTGCATGCTCTGTGTCTGCATGCTCTGTGTCTGCATGCTCTGTCTGCGTGCTCTGTGTCTGTGTGCTCTGTGTCTGCATGCTCTGTGTCTGCATGCTGTGTCTGCGTGCTTTGTGTTTGCATGCTCTGTGTCTGTGTCTGCGTGCTCTGTGTCTGCGTGCTCTATGTGTGCGTGCTCTGTGTCTGCTAGCTCTGTGTCTGCGTGCTCTGTGTCTGTGTGCTATGTGTCTGCGTGCTCTGTCTGTGTGCTAGGTGTCTGTGTGCTATGTGTCTGCGTGCTCTGTCTGTGTGCTCTGTGTCTGCGTGCTCTGTCTGCGTGCTTTGTGTTTGCATGCTCTGTGTCTGCGTGCTATGTGTCTGCGTGCTCTTTGTCTGCGTGCTCTGTGTCTGTGTCCTATGTGTCTGCGTGCTCTGTCTGTGTGCTATGTGTCTGTGTGCTATGTGTCTATGTGCTCTGTCTGTGTGCTCTGTGTCTGCGTGCTCTGTGTCTTCATGCTCTGTGTCTGCGTGCTTTGTGTTTGCATGCTCTGTGTCTGCGTGCTCTGTGTCTGTGTGCTCTGTGTCTGCATGCTCTGTGTGCTCTGTGTCTGCATGCTCTGTGTCTCCATGCTCTGTGTCTGCATGCTCTGTGTCTGCGTGCTCTGTGTCTGTGTGCTGTGTCTGCATGCTCTGTGTCTGCATGCTCTGTGTCTGCATGCTCTGTGCCTGCGTGCTCTGTGTCTGTGTGCTCTGTGTTTGCATGCTCTGTGTCTGCGTCCTCTGTCTGCGTGCTCTGTGTCTGCATGCTGTGTGTCTGCGTGCTCTGTGTCTGCGTGCTCTGTGTTTGCATGCTCTGTGTTTGCATGCTCTGTGTCTGCGTCCTCTGTCTGCATGCTCTGTGTCTGCATGCTCTGTGTCTGCATGCTCTGTGTCTGCATGCTCTGTGCCTGCGTGCTCTGTGTCTGCGTGCTCTGTGTCTGCATGCTCTGTGTCTGCATGCTCTGTGTCTGCGTGCTCTGTGTCTGCATGCTCTGTGCCTGCGTGCTCTGTGTCTGTGTGCTCTGTGTTTGCATGCTCTGTGTCTGCGTCCTCTGTCTGCGTGCTCTGTGTCTGCATGCTCTGTGTCTGCGTGCTCTGTGTCTGCGTGCTCTGTGTTTGCATGCTCTGTGTTTGCATGCTCTGTGTCTGCGTCCTCTGTCTGCATGCTCTGTGTCTGCATGCTCTGTGTCTGCATGCTCTGTGTCTGCATGCTCTGTGCCTGCGTGCTCTGTGTCTGTGTGCTCTGTGTTTGCATGCTCTGTGTCTGCGTCCTCTGTCTGCGTGCTCTGTGTCTGCATGCTATGTGTCTGCATGCTCTGTGTCTGCGTGCTCTGTGTCTGCGTGCTCTGTGTTTGCATGCTCTGTGTTTGCATGCTCTTTGTCTGCGTCCTCTGTCTGCATGCTCTGTGTTTGCATGCTCTGTGTCTGCGTGCTCTGTGTTTGCATGCTCTGTGTCTGCGTCCTCTGTCTGCGTGCTCTGTGTCTGCATGCTCTGTGTCTGCATGCTCTGTGTCTGCGTGCTGTGTCTGCGTGCTCTGTGTTTGCGTGCTCTGTGTTTGCGTGCTTTGTGTCTGCGTGCTTTGTGTTTGCGTGCTTTGTGTCTGCGTGCTTTGTGTGCGTGCTGTGTGTGTGTGCTATGTGTCTGCGTGCTCTGTGTCTGCATGCTCTGTGTTTGCGTGCGTTGTGTCTGCGGCTTTGTGTGCGTGCTGTGTCTGCATGCTCTGTGTCTGCGTGCTCTGTGTTTGCATGCTATGTGTCTGCGTGCTCTGTGTTTGCGTGCTCTGTGTTTGCGTGCTTTGTGTCTGCGTGCTTTGTGTGCGTGCTGTGTCTGTGTGCTATGTGTCTGCGTGCTCTGTGTCTGCGTCCTCTGTCTGCGTGCTCTGTGTTTGCATGCTATGTGTCTGCATGCTATATGTCTGCATGCTGTGTCTGCATGCTATGTGTCTGCATGCTATGTGTCTGCGTGCTATGTCTGCATGTGATGTGTCTGCGTGCTCTGTGTTCACCAGTGTCGTAGTTGGTGTTCAGTGTCGCAGTAGGTGTTCACTAGTGTTGTAGGTGTTCACCAATGTCGTAGTAGATGTTCACCAGTGTCGTAGTAGGTGTTCACCAGTGTCATAGGTGTTCACCAATGTCATAGTAGGTGTTCACCAGTGTCGTAGTAGGCGTTCACCAGTGTCGTAGTAGGTGTTCACCAGTGTCAAAGTAGGTGTTCACTAGACTCACAGTCGGTGTTCACTAGTGTCACAGTCGGTGTTCAGTGTCATAGTAGGTGTTCACTAGTGTCGGTGTTCAGTGTCATAGTAGGTGTTCACTAGTGTCGGTGTTCAGTGTCATAGTAGGTGTTCACTAGTGTCGGTGTTCAGTGTCATAGTAGGTGTTCACTAGTGTAGGTGTTCAGTGTCATAGTAGGTGTTCACTAGTGTCGGTGTTCAGTGTCATAGTAGGTGTTCACTAGTGTCGGTGTTCAGTGTCATAGTAGGTGTTCACTAGTGTCACAGTCGGTGTTCAGTGTCATAGTAGGTGTTCACTAGTGTCACAGTCGGTGTTCAGTGTCATAGTGGGTGTTCACCAGTGTCGTAGTCTGTGTTAACCAGTGGGTGTTCACTCAAGTATTCCAAGCCTGCTCCTGTTGCTGACCCCTGTCTCTGTGGCAGATCAACAGCGTGGCCAGGAGGATCGTCAGCACGTACCGAGTGTTCCTGCTGGCGGCCTACAAGCTCCACTGCTTCGTCCTCAACTCCTGGCCGGCCTCACGCAGGAACAACCATCGCTTCCTGATAGGTGAGTCCTGCTGGACATGAGAGGAATGTATTGGACAGACCCTGACTTGGTTGACAGCGTGTCATCACACCCTAATGATGTGGACTGCTGCTCATGATATCAATAGCTTGTCGTAAGAGGCGACTATGCTTGTCGTAAGAGGTGACTATGCTTGTCGTAAGAGGCGACTATGTTTGTCGTAAGAAAGGGACTATGCTTGTCGTAAGGGGTGACTATGCTTGTCGTAACGGGCGACTAACGGGATAAGGTGGTCTTAGTTGATGCGTGTCATCGTATACCAATTGTGTAATTAAATGCTCATTATGTCATACAGCTGGAATATTCTGCATATTTGTAGATGCAACAATCATATTAAAAATGGGCTGCTTTGAGCAATAGATAGCACTTAGACATGCATTTATTACTAAGTGATCTGTACCTTACGCAAACAATCCGAAAATGGTACTCATCTCCAATATACTCTGTTGCAATACTAACTGATGAATAGAAAATAATTCTCCACATCAAACACAGCTACTCCGCCTGAATCGGATAATGCCATGTTCATATTTCAGAGGTCATCCTCAACCTTGCCAGCTACCTTCACTTCAAGGTCAAGGCCAATGTGAAGGTTTGTTTCACAATATGTAATCTTGATAGGATGTTTTTTCCCATTATATCTAGGTTTCCTGATTTGCCCAGCCCTAAGTTTACAAATAGAAAGTAATTCTATCAACCCCAAGTGGCTAATGTGTCATGTCTCTAGTCTTTTATGAATGAGATTGTATTATACTACCCACAAGAAGTGATATGAAAGAATTTATTTCTTTTCAGTAGTATATATTATGTTTTATATCTTGGAACCATTTGCCACTGTTTGTTTCGAAAAGTGAAGTCATCAGATTCATCTCTCTTATCAATAACTTCCATCGCTCAACAAAATGCAAGTTAGTGTACATCACCATATATTTTATCGAATCAGCAGGCTGTTACGAATAAACCTTCATCATCCAAAACTGGCTTGCGTGAGATCAAGGGATACTGGGGTATCTACATTGTAGATATCGCTGCAATGAAATTGCAATACAATGCTTTGCAGACCATTTTGACATCATTGGTTACCATGACGTCACAATCAAATGACGTCACTAATGGCTCTGCTACTGAAGCTGTTAGCAGTACTTTTTACACTTAGGACACTGAGATTCTCTATTTAGCTGGAAAAGATGTTGTCCCAAGTCCTGAAGCTACTGAACAGTCCAGTTGTATTTGAGACAGGTTTGGTCGAGTACTGTTGATATAACCTCTTGTTTCACTCATGAAAGGTCTTTGTCATTTGATTGGACTTTTATTTATCATGTCACTCAAACCAGACTTAAACCCGCGAAGATCTGGCGTAGAATAGGTCTTCAGCAACCCATGCTTGCCGTAAAAGGCGACTATGCTTGTCGTAAGAGGTGACTAACGGGATCAGGTGGTCAGGCTAGCTGACTTGGTTGATGCATGTCATTGACCCCAATTGCGTGGATCAATGCTCATGATGTCAATCACTGGATTGTCTGGTCCAGACTCAATTATTTACAGACGGCCTTCAAATATATGGAATATTGCTGAGTGCGGCGTTGAACAACAAACAAACAACCAACCAAACCAGACTTAAAACATGGTGTCTCATGGTTCCAGGGTATCTATCTTAATAGAATGGAGATTTGATACACTGGATTAACGAAGATGCTTTTAAATGTCCCCTCCTGACTTAATTCAGTCATGGGGGGCACAGGTGGCCCAGTCGTCTAAGGCGCCGCGATACGCTGTGCAGAGTTGCGTCCCTTGGGCACGCCAGAAACCTATGATTGTGGGTTCGAATCCCGGTTCGCCCCGATTATGTTTCTAGGTTTGTCAGCACCATACCCGTGCTCGTGGGTTTCACAGAAGTGGTAAACGTCTGAGACCTGCATCACTTCGGGCTTTCCTCCCACATTAAGCTGACACGCCGCGATATAACTGGAATACTGTTAAAAGCAGTGTTAAACCCAACTCACTCACTCATTAATTCAGTCATGGAAAAAGCTTGAAAGTATAACTGCTATGAGAGGTAAGTGATGTTCTCCAACAGGACATTTCATCCTGAACCTGATGTGTGTGTTCCAGCAAGCCGTTGATGAGGATGGAGGCTCGTCTCTGTTGCCGTTACCTCTTGTCAAATGGTAAGGAAACCTGGTCATTAGAATCATAGATAAACGTATTGAAAAAACAACGAGTTGTGCTGCAACCTGAGTGGTTGAAATGTTTGGATAGTTGAAATTTGATGTTTATCCCTCATGAAGATTCTGGTTTAGATTAGGTCCCCAGCAGACTTTGCTTGTCATCAGAGACGGAAAAAGTGATGTCGTGATCAGACTCAGTGACTTGGTTGATTGTCTCATCACACCCTGACGGTGTGGGGAGTTTGCTCATGATATCAACCACTGGTTTTCCAGGTCTTGATTATATACAGGCTGCCTCTATTGTATAGAGGATAGATTGTCTGCCCAGACAGCGGAAGTCTTGCGTCTGATCCCCGGACATGTTTTATAACAAAAGACGTTTAAAGATGCTTGTTGTTACCTGTCTCGACTAAAACTAAGGAGAGGTCAGTATACTGTGTCCTTGTATATATATATATGTATATACATACTGCTGAGTGCCACAGTAAACAAACAAGATCTAGAACAGGTCCCGTCCATATACGTCCCGACTATGTGGATTAGATGGTCAGTCTTGGTGAATTGGTTGATTGTATGTCATCAAACCCCAGCAGCATGGACATTGCTCATTATATCAATCACTAGTCCAGACTCACTTATTTACAGACCGTTGTGTTTTTGCTTGAATATTTCTTAATGTGGCAATTATTAACAAAAAACTGCCAGTCCCCCATCCGGAGTAGAACAGGTCTTCAGCAACCCATTCTTTCCGTAAAAGGCGGGATCGGGTGGTCAGGCTTGGTGACTTGATTGACGCATGTCATCGTATCCCTTTTGAGTAGATTGATGCTCATGATGTCAGTCACTGGATTGTCTGGTCAAGAATCGATTATTTTCATACTGCCATCATTTAGCTGGAATATTACTGAGTGTGGCGTTAAACAACAAACAAACAAACACTCACTCAGACTCATTTACTTTGAGGACATAGGATGTGGCTGGAATATTGTCGAGTGTGGCGTTAAACAACAAACAAACAAACACTCACTCAGACTCATTTACTTTGAGGACATAGGATGTGGCTGGAATATTGTCGAGTGTGGCGTTAAACAACAAACAAACAAACAAACACTCAGACTCTTTTATTTGGAGGACATAGGATGCGTCTGGAATATTGTGGAGTGTGGCGTGAAACAAGAAACCAACTGATACCTGTCTGTTCCTTGGCAGGCTGTGTGTGCAGGCCCACCTGGTGAAACTCCAGCAGCACCACTCCATGTACAGTCCGCTGCTGTCTGCACTCAAGGCCTACAGGAAGGGCTTCTGGAGGAGGATGGTAGTGTATTACTTCAGTCAGGGCAGACACCAGCTCTCTGAGTGTTCCCCTATTACATGCCCTATTCACTGTAATATGCGCCCCTGAAACCTAACAAAGGTGACCTAACAAACTATAGAGTGAAATTTGTTTGAGCAATCAAGCTTTTGTGAACTTAGTTCAAAAGTCAATGAACTAAAATTTGTTCCATATACAGTAATTTACAGTTATAAGGAACTCAAAGGAACCAGTCATTTTAGATCTTTATAATTGTAGTTTGTTATTAGCTTTTCAACTGTCAGACATCTTGGATCAAGTCATGTGACTCTTCAGCTGGAGACGTCAATGTCTGAATCTTTCCGCTTGCGAGGTGTGTCTGACAATGTATTTATATGAATACAGAATTTCCTCACTTTGGTCATGGCATGTTAGACAGAATGTACCCACTCCAAGGGTTAGAGCCTAATCACTGTATTACTATTGTTAATTGAGGACTATAAGGTGAGGACAGGGTGTCAGTACTTAATCCAGTTGATGTCTTGCCTCTAATTCTTATTGGTCGCTTTGAACAACTGCTCATAGCTGTTGATGTTTTGATAGGCTGTTTGTTGACATCAGTTTAATGTGATATACAGTAATGTCTGGGACCAAACAAACATTTTGTTATATCTGCTTGTTCATTATAAGTATGTTCGTCACTAATGTAGTTTACTGTGGTTACAAGGCAATTGTATTCCCTTCTGCACTGCGACACACTGAAACATGGGGACTGTCGTGCAAAGTTTCAGTCTGTGTACACTTATAAAGATCACTTACAGATTGGTCAAGAAGTAGGTCAGAGGGACGCTTATTACCGGAGGGTACTTAATACAGCGAATATAATAATAATAATAATCATCATCATCATCATCATCATCATAATGATAATAATAACAACAATATTTGATTTGCCCAAAAGGGTATTTGTTATACATTTGCCACTATTTCACTGGTACCCGGTTAACATGGGTGGTACTGTTCCAAGTGAATTTACCCACATTGACAAATGAGCAGAGAAACAAATTACTGTTTCAGAGTAATGTCCTTTGAACATGTATATCCTCTGATATCCTCTGTTGTCCTCTGATATCCTCTGTTATCCTCTGTTATCGTCTTTTATCCTCTGTTGTCCTCTGGTGTCCTGTTATCCACTTTTATCCTCTGTTATCCTCTGGTGTCCTCTGTTATCCTCTGGTGTCCTCTGATATCCTCTGTTATCCCCTGTTATCCTCTGGTGTCCTCTGTATCCTCTTTTATCCTCCGTTATCCTCTTTTATCCTCCGTTATCCTCTGGTGTCCTCTGTTATCCTATTTTATCCTCTGTTATCCTCTGGTGTCCTCTGTTATCCTCTGGTGTCCTCTTTTATCCTCCGATATCCTCTGGTGTCCTCTGTTATCCTCTTTTATCCTCTTTTATCCTCTGGTGTCCTCTGTTATCCTGTTATCCTCTGGTGTCCTCTGTAATCCTGTTATCCTCTGGTGTCCTCTGTAATCCTGTTATCCTCTTGTGTCCTCTGTAATCCTGTTATCCTCTTGTGTCCTCTGTTATCCTCTGGTGTCCTCTGTTATCCTCTGGTGTCCTCTGTAATCCTGTTATCCTCTGGTGTCCTCTGTTATCCTCTGGTGTCCTCTGTTATCCTGTTATCCCCTGTTATCCTCTTTTATCCCCTGTTATCCTCTTTTATCCTCTGTTATCCTCTGGTGTCCTCTGTTATCCTCTGTTTCCAGCAGAATTGCTGGTTTTTCATTCTTCACTGAGTCTAAAACTGGGCAAAACAGTAGGTAAGACTGGTGACTTGGTTCGTTGCCTGCCATCATGATCTGATGGAGGTCCTGCTGCTCTTCTTGGCCATTAGTTGCTGGGCCCAGACTTGACTCGGGTTATTTAAAGGCCCCCATGATGTAGCTGGAATATAGCTGACTGTTTGCTTCCTGACATGCTGTAGTGTAACTGGTGTTATACACCTGCCTCTCACACTCACTCACTCACTACCTCACTCTCACTACCTCACTAACTCCATGTACACCATTTAGTGATTGTACAAATTTGTCCTGTCAGTACCCTGTCTGTCATTTGGTTGGATGAAACCATCTGTCCACTTCCAGATTCCCCAGCACAGGTGTGAGGTGGAGTTCCTCAAGAAGAATCGCATCCCTGTACAGTTCCAGCAGATCCTGGAGAGGTGATGGGCCTCGTCGTGTCTGTAGACACTGGAGAGTTGATCAGCCAATTCATGTCTGTAGATACTGGATTCATGTCACCCATTTCATGCCATTTCACCTGTTGCTCGCTTTGTTATCCTCATGTAGAGGAATAAATCTGTTTACATCGATTCCATCTTTCTGTGTTGTGTGTAACTTTGAGATGTCGACATCTGTGCAAGGTGGCCGGGTGGTCTGAGCCCCGTCCAATAGTCATGAGACGGCCTCCAAGGTCTGGTGGTAGAGCGTCCGCCCGGAGAGCGGAAGGTCCGGGGTTCGATCCCCGGCCGCGTCATACCAAAAGACGTTAAAAGATGGTACTTGTTGTTACCCTGTCTGGCGCTTGGCATTAAGGGGCTAAAACAAGGACTGTGTCTGAGAGGGGTATTCATGTAAAGTGCGGCATGGTATCTCAGTGAGCTAGCACTATAAATCGGCATCAGTCCGGACTAGTACAAGCAGCCACACAAACACACACACGTACATGCACGTCGCTCTGTATGTGCAATAATCTTGGACGCGATGTTAAACCCCATTTCCCCTTTTCACCAATAGTCATGCCAGAAACTCATGATCATGGGTTCGAATCCAGGTTCGCCCTGACTGTATATCTAGGTTCGTCAGCACCCATGCTTGTTCTTCAAACAGATGATAGTTGGCATTGGACTCTGCTTTATGATTATGGAACGTTTGATCATGGAAAGGGTTTGTTTTTAATTTACGACACATCATCGGTCACTGTCTCACTGCAAAGGTTCTACAAAACATAGGAAATATTGCACAACATTTATTGTTTGTCAAAGTGAATTCCTCACGTGAACAGAACAAGTGTGTCCAGTCGGGCATCCCCCATTGTCCAGTGTATTATGTCTTCGAGTTACTCGTCTCTTCTGAAACGAAGCTATGTTTGTGAATAGGTACAGGGTATATGTCATCACAGAATAGAGTTACAATTCTCTGGATGATCAGGGGTGCCTGATTGGGGATTTGTTGGTTTCTATACATACTATGAACATGTTTATTTTCATTTTAAGAAGAGGATGATTAGAATTGTTATTTATTGATTAAGGCGCTGTGATATTAAAAAATAAAATAATTGTTTTTTGACAAAAATATTTATTTTGTGTATTTATATTGTGCTAGAGTCTACACACTAGTATGCTTAAAACTATTATTATCCCAGTCAATGGATCAGTGTGCTCTAAAATGTCTCACCTCCCTGGAGAATATACAACCCAAGCTGTGCAAGAAGTTTACCTTCTCGTTCGAATTTCACACCACCTGTAAGATGTGTTTCAGCTGGGTCAGGGTGGGAGCCCTAGAAACGTTAAAGAGTTGGGTGTAAACCGGTCACCAATTCACCAACTCTACCCAACCTGTGAGTGAGTGGTGAGTGAGTATGGTTTTACGCCGCTTTTAGCAATTTCCCAGCAATATCACTGCGGGGGACACCAAAAATGGGCTCGCACATTGTACCCATGTCGGGAATCGAACCCTTGTCTTCGTCGTGACGAGCGAACGCTTTAACCACTAGGCTACCCGACCGCCCCCCGACCTGTGAAGATCAGGGGTAGAATAGGTTTTCAGCAAACCATGCTTGCCGTAAAAGGCGACTATGATTGTCTTAAGAGGCGACTAATGGGATCAGGTGGTCTGGCTCGCTGACTTGGTTGATGCATGTCATCGTATCCCAATGGTGTGGATTGATGTTCATGATGTCAATCACTGGATTGTCTGGTCCAGACTCGATTATTTCCAGCATGCCGTCATATTGCTGGAATATTGCTGAGTGTGGCGATAAACAACAACAACAAAAGCATTTTGGTTTGCACTTTGCTTTTGTTCCACAGCGCCATCTGGGAGCCTACTACACTGCCGTTCAAAAGAAAGTATACACCCAAGTTTGATGGTGGCTAAATACGGGTATCATAGGCAATATTACATGCACCATATCAATGAGTGTCTCACAACAAGCCCTTGTTTTCAGTCTCGTAACCTTTGTCATTTGTTGGTCAAATCCAATTTATCTTTAGCCCTGCAGTTTATCAACAAACCTCATTGTCTGGGAAAGGTTAAATTGTATAAACAATGTGCGTGCGTCGTTGTACAAGAAAAAACAAACTGAACCTATCCTAGACACATTCTTCCTTTGAAAAGGAAAAGTGTAAAATTGAATATGTAGAAACAATGAAAATATATAGCAGAATCACTTAAATGGAGATAAGATGATCATAATGGCCTCAGATCACTGATATTACTTGAATTGGCCACCGCTAGTTGCTCTCGGTCCTTCACTGTCAAACTGTTATTCGCTCTATAAGTCAAGCCGCGTCCTTGTTTCACTGAGATCACTGTCAATCTCTTCCTCCGTACATCTCAATCTCTACCTTCACTGTCAATCTCTTCCTCCGTACATGTCAATCTCTACCTTCATTGTCAATCTCTTCCTCCGTACATCTCAATCTCTACCTTCACTGTCAATCTCTTCCTCCGTACATCTCAATGTTACCTTCACTGTCAATCTCTTCCTCTGTACATCTCAATCTCTACCTTCCCTGTCAATCTCTTCCTCGGTACATCTCAATGTTACCTTCACTGTCAATCTCTTCCTCTGTACATCTCAATCTCTACCTTCACTGTCAATCTCTTCCTCCGTACATCTCAATCTCTACCTTCCCTTTCAATCTCTTCCTCTGTACATCTCTATCTCTACCTTCACTGTCAATCTCTTCCTCTGTACATCTCTATCATCCCTGTCAATCTCTTCCTCTGTACATCTCAATCTCTACCTTCACTGTCAATCTCTTCCTCTGTACATCTCAATCTCTACCTTCACTGTCAATCTCTTCCTCTGTACATCTCTATCTCTACCTTCACTGTCAATCTCTTCCTCTGTACATCTCAATCTCTACCTTCCCTGTCAATCTCTTCCTCTGTACATCTCTATCTCTACCTTCACTGTCAATCTCTTCCTCCGTACATCTCTACCTTCCCTGTCAATCTCTTCCTCTGTACATCTCAATCTCTACCTTCACTGTCAATCTCTTCCTCCGTACATCTCAATCTCTACCTTCCCTGTCAATCTCTTCCTCTGTACATCTCAATCTCTACCTTCCCTGTCAATCTCTTCCTCCGTACATCTATACCTTCCCTGACAATCTCTTCCTCTGTACATCTCAATCTCTACCTTCCCTGTCAATCTCTTCCTCTGTACATCTCAATCTCTACCTTCACCGTCAATCTCTTCCTCTGTACATCTCAATCTCTACCTTCACTGTCAATCTCTTCCTCTGTACATCTCAATCTCTAACTTCACTGTCAATCTCTTCCTCTGTACATCTAAATCTCTACCTTCACTGTCAGTCTCTTCCTCTGTACATCTCAATCTCTACCTTCACTGTCAGTCTCTTCCTCTGTACATCTCAATGTTACCTTCACTGTCAATCTCTTCCTCTGTACATCTCAATCTCTACCTTCACTGTCAATCTCTTCCTCCGTACATCTCAATCTCTACCTTCCCTTTCAATCTCTTCCTCTGTACATCTCTATCTCTACCTTCACTGTCAATCTCTTCCTCCGTACATCTCTATCATCCCTGTCAATCTCTTCCTCTGTACATCTCAATCTCTAACTTCACTGTCAATCTCTTCCTCTGTACATCTAAATCTCTACCTTCACTGTCAGTCTCTTCCTCTGTACATCTCAATCTCTACCTTCACTGTCAGTCTCTTCCTCTGTACATCTCAATCTCTACCTTCACCGTCAATCTCTTCCTCTGTACATCTCGATCTCTACCTTCACTGACAATCTCTTCTTTTCTCCTTCAAGATCACTGTCAATCTCTTCCTCTGTACATCTCAATCTCTACCTTCCCTGTCAATCTCTTCCTCTGTACATCTAAATCTCTACCTTCACTGTCAATCTCTTCCTCTGTACATCTCAATCTCTACCTTCACTGTCAATCTCTTCCTCTGTACATCTAAATCTCTACCTTCACTGTCAATCTCTTCCTCTGTACATCTAAATCTCTACCTTCACTGTCAGTCTCTTCCTCTGTACATCTCAATCTCTACCTTCCCTGTCAATCTCTTCCTCTGTACATCTCAATCTCTACCTTCACTGTCAAACTCTTCTCTCTAGAACTCACCTGACTCGTGAAGATCTGGGTTCGGATAGGTCTTCAGCAATCCATGATTGTCGTTTAAGGCGACTGCGAGGATCGGGTGGTGAGGCTCGCTAACTGGCCGTATTGATGGATGTCATTGCGTAAGATGGCAATCACTGGATTGTCTGGTCCGGACTCGATTTTTTTTCAGATCGCCGTCATATAACTGGAATATTGCTGAGAGCGGCGTTAAACCAAAAGCAAACAAACAAAACATGCAATTAATCAACTTGTATCTCACAATAGGCGGCGTGCACGTGACGTGACGAGGAACATCGGATTTTTTTAAAGCGTAAATACTCTTTTGCCCGGCAGTATATTTAGTTCCATTCTCTGGCATTCTTGTACAGTTCCATCATAGAGTACACAATCAAAACGCTGCGAAAACCTTTCACTGAAGTTTCAACAACACGTGAAACATGAATTGAATGTGAAATATATACACTTTGTTATTATTATTTATTATGTGAAAGCGCACCGTCTCATTATGCTGCATATTTTGATTTATGACATTTTGAGTATGATTAAATTGAACTTAATTTCAAATAATATGATCCTCGATGATGTCATCGTAACAGAAGATTCAGTTCGCTTCAGATCTCTGCCCATTGAAACAGAACAATCAGTCCATGGTATTTATAATACAGTAAACTACGTTTATAACGAACACGCTTATAACGAACTGGCGGATATAACGTATTGTTTTGGGGCTCCAGCCATTTGCTGTATATGTGCTGTATATATGTTTATAACGAATTACGGTTATAACGAACTAAAATAAGGTGTCCCTTTGAGTTCGTTTTAAACGTAGTTTACGGTATAAGCAATAGATACACTGAATTCATGCCTGGTTTACAGCATGATGCGTCGTTGCCCTATTTAAGCATGCAGACATGACCACCATACTCTAAATGTCAGTTATATCCTGGAGGCAACACATCATAAAAGTCACTCGTGCGATATGGA